GTCCAAAACTAATTCCCTGCGCTGCAAAGAATTTCCGTCCTCAGCCTTGTCCAATTCAATTCACTTCCTGATCCAAGTCCCAAGCCTCCAAAATAATCACCAGCCCACAATTAATCCCCATCCAGCTGGGCTTTAAGCCCACTTCATGCTTCCTAGCCCAAGTGAGTATTTCACCAGTGATTCGAGCCAGATTGATTGCTTGTGCACTCGCTTCTTTTTCGTGTTTTCTCCACCTGTAACATATCAAACTCATGGCACTAGGCAGTAATGGTTTTTCAACCATTCTCGGGTTAGCGAGCCCTAAAATAGCACCAATCGGCTTAAACATACCATGAGATAATCACATAAAGCTCAAGAATCCGATATATTAAAGCCGATTATCACACGCTTTAAGAACCGTTGTGTATTTGTTAAACAGGGTTCCTAGTAAAGTTGTTCCTAAGATACCTTTTGAACTGTGGACGGGAAGGAAACCCAGTTTAAGGCACCTACATGTTTGGGGTTGCCCAGCGGAAGTAAGAAAATATAATCCACATGAAAAGAAACTGGACTCACGAACAATCAGTGGTTTCTTCATTGGTTATCCGGAAAAATCTAAGGGGTATCGATTTTATTGCCCTAACCATAGTACGAGAATTGTTGAAACTGGAAATGCTAGGTTCATTGAGAATGGTGAAGTTAGTGGGAGCTTAGAGCCACGCAATGTGGAAATTCAAGAAGTTAGAGTGCAAATATCTTTGCCTCTACCCTCTTCTCAAGTTGTTGCTCCTGTACATGTTGAGCATGATAACGATTTGCAAGAACAACAAATGAACGGTCAAGCACCACCTAATATTGCTATTGAGAATGAACCTAACATAGATGAACCACAAGAAATCGCATTAAGAAGGTCTACAAGAAATCGAAGACATGCAATTTCTGATGATTATGATGTTTATCTTCACGAGTTAGAATCTGATTTAGGACTCTATCATGATCCAGTTTCATTTTCACAAGCCATGGAAAGTGAACATTCTGGTAAATGGTTAGCTTCCGCGAAAGAAGAGATGAAATCTATGTATAAAAATGAAGTTTAGGACCTTGTTGATTTGCCTGAAGGTTGTAAAAGAGTTGGTAATAGATAGGTCTGGAAGACCAAACACGACTCTAATGGCAATATCAAAAGACACAGGGCCAGACTTGTTGCCAAAGGTTTCACTCAGAAAAGTGGTGTTGACTATAAAGAGACATTTTCACCCGTCTCTAAGAAAGACTCCTTAAGGATTGTCATGGCAATGGTAGCTCATTATAATCTAGAGCTCCATCAGATGGATGTGAAAACCGCCTTTCTGAATGTGAATTTAGATGAAGCAGTCTATATGGATCAACCTGAAGGTTTTGTGGTTGAGGGAAAAGAACATATGGTGTGTAAATTAAAGAAGTCAATATACGGACTTAAACAAGCTTCTCGACAATGGTATATTAAGTTCAATGATACCATTACATCTTTTAGATTTAAGGAGAACATCGTCGATCGATGTATATATCTGAAGATTAGTGGGAGTAAGTTTATAATTTTTGTTCTGTATGTTGACGAGATCTTGCTTGCTACTAATGATCTTGGTTTATTACATCAAACCAAGGAGTTTCTCTCTAAGAACTTTGAAATGAAGGATTTGGGTGAGGCATCCTATGTGATTGGAATAGAAATATTTCGTGATAGATCACAAGGACTGTTGGGATTGTCTCAGAAATCATACATTAACCGGATCCTAGAGAGATACAACATGACTGAATGCTCTGCAAATGTCGTTCCAATTCAAAAGAGAGATAAATTTAGTCTCAAACAATGTCCAAAGAATGATCTGGAACGCAAGCAAATGGAACACATTCCTTATGAATCTATTGTTGGAAGTTTAAATTATGCACAAACTTGTACCAGACCAGACATCAGTTTTGCTGTCGGAATGCTGGGCAGGTATCAAAGTAAACCAGGAGTAGATCATTGGAAAGCTGCAAAGAAGGTACTAAGGTATCTGCAAGGAACAAAAGACCACATGCTCACCTTTAGGAGATCTGATCACCTTGAGGTGATTGGATATTCAGATTCAGATTATGCTGGATGTGTAGACACCAGGAAGTCTACTTTTGGCTATTTGTTCTTTCTAGCCGGAGGGGCAATTTCATGGAAGAGTGCGAAGCAATCTGTTATTGCCACATCCACTAGGGAAGCTTAATTCATAGCTTGTTATGAAGCTACGAATCATGGTTTATGGCTGCGGAATTTTATTTATGGACTTGGAATTGTCGACACTATCGCCAAGCCGTTGAAAATTTAATGTGATAATTCCGCAGCGGTATTATTCTCTAAGAATGACAAGTATTCGAAGGGTGCTAAGCATATGGAGGTGAAATACTTTGTCGTTAAGGAAGAAATTCAGAAACAAAGGGTGTCGATCGAGCATATTAGCACACAGCTTATGATTGTTGATCCATTAACGAAAGGATTGCCTCCTAAGACATTTACTGAACATGTCGAAAGGATGGGGATTATAGAATAAAGTTATTTTATGTTTCATGGATTGACACTTTGAGCTCATTTATTTTGTTTCTAGAATAAAGTTATGAATCTTGTTTTATTCATTATGATCAGTATATATACATTATGCATAACAAGATTTTTGTCTTTAGGGAAGACATTATTGTTGGACCATTATGAATACCTTGTTATGTGTCATATTGAGCATGAAACTGGTTTTGTGGTACATGGAAGAGACTATGTCGATAAATTGCTATAGAACCGCCATGATCCGAATCTAGATTTCATACTTGATTATGACTTTATGGTGAACCAAATTTTATGGATTTATCTTATGATGTGCACACTTATGTTTATTATTAGATCTTGTGATATATAATGACACATGGGCCAAGTGGGAGAATGTAAGCCCAATTCTCGTATAGATCACTAGGGAATAATTGTGGCCCAAGTGTAATTATCACTTAATGGTTTAATATATAAGGTAAGTCATATATTGGTTAGATTAATGAAAGGTAATTTCCTAATATACCCCGATGGTGGGTCTATATAAAGAAACCCTAGGATTGGTCCTCTCTCAACCCATTACGTAGAATTTCTTAGCCGTCACAGAAATCTCTAAACCTAAAACCTAAAGGGGTCAAGAGGGAAAAACTCAATTCCGGTGATTACTACTCAAGCCGCCGCTGCCGCTCTCGTCATGGATCTAGGTAGGTTTCCTTGATCTATTACCGATTCGTGAAATCATCTAATTCTAAGATCCATGCTATTATGATCTATTTTTACCGATTTCACTTACATTAATTTACCGAGTAATGTATGAAACAGTGGGAACGACAACCCATTTTGCGAATATGGCAGCAGAATCTTAGTTGGACTTTTTTCAAAACCATAACAGGCAACAAGACTCAGCAAAGCTCTAACGGCAGGGCGACACGCTCCCCATATTCGTTCCACTAGCAACGAATAAAGAAATAGTTTGTATTATCCATCCATCCAACCAGGCCAGACTTAAGTTAGTGCTTAAAAATGGTCAGGAGCGTAATTAACAATCAAGCAAAATGTAAGAAATGGATTACAAGACATTCATGTACAGTGACGAATATAGCTAATCCATAAATTACTTTAGGTGTGGCTTTTGATATATTGTGAATTCTTCTTTAACATGAATTCTTAAAAATAATTTTAAAGTTAATAAATGTTGCCATTGGTCGTACTATAGCAAAGACATTATGGGATGCTTTTATAGTCGTGATCACTATACATTTGATGTTATTGTTTAATTACTTGATAATAGCAATTCAAGAATTGAGAAAACTGAACAAAATTTGTAATTAAGATCGACGAGTAGTTACAACATAACTGTGAGTCTGTGATGACGAGGAATGATAATAAAGTGGGGAGGGATGTGTACCTCAAGTCTCATATTTGTATTGTTGGAGATATATGTTCGTTTGTGTTATTTTGTTAAGGACATCGATGTAGGTGAACCTTTTGTGGGGGTATGTAACCTGAATAAAGCATAAAACACAAAACATGAATTTTGTGAGGGAAAACGATGAATACCAAATTACGAGGGCAACATGAATACCACTTTTTGAATGAAAAAGGAGAATGTGACATGATCTAATGAAGAAAAATTATTGAGATGTGCGTCATCTCTTGATGTTAACTGTATTATTATCTGAGAAATTTCTAGTAAGCATTTAAAATAGAATCGATTGAGAATGAAATGATATGGAGCTCAGTGGGTTGAAGAAAGGATGAGACAAGCCATGTCAACTCGAGCATAACATGTTGACGTTGTCATCCTAATCAGTGTCAGCCTTGATGAATTTTAGGAGGTTATCTTTGTCTCGCCCATTTCCATCTTCCAAATCCACGACCCATCGCTGGAGAATTCTAGTGCAAGGAGGCGTTTGAGAGTGCGAATGGGGAGAATAATGATTCTAGAGTGTGGTACGAATAACTACATTATTAAGAAAGAATTACTGGACACACAAACATTTTTTATTGTGCAAAAAAAAAAACACAGCAAAAACGACATAATCATATAGCAAATCCCTACCCTCTTAATACAACTTTTTTTATAAATGGTTTCCATTTCGGTCTTCATAGTCATATCAATACATTTCAATTACCCGCGTATACGCGCGAAATTTGTCTCCACACTTGGTAATAGACCCAATGCACAATTAAAAAGAAAAAAAAACCTTGAATTCCAAGAATGGAGCCTTGACAATGGCATGATGGGTGTATGATTTTAGGCTAAATTTTGTTGAGTTTCCTTATCAATAATCCTCTTTAAACGAAAAGGCAAAAGGAAAAGAAAAGGCAACAAGGAGCTAACATAGCACATGCCAGGTAGCCGTTGAGCCGCACACCAGCAGAAGACGCGAGTAGCACCCGACTTTCAATTCAATCTTCAGAAGCAGAGAGAGAAACAGATCCAACGGCCAAGAGAAACTAGCCGTTGCTTTTGAAAAAAAAAATTGTTTGCCGAAGGCTCTCTCTTTCTGGACAATATATCCGCTGTCTGACTCCCTGTTACAATCCTTCTTTCTTTACTGGTTTTCTCGTCCTTTTCCCATTCTCCTCCGTCGTCTTCATTTCTTCTGCAAAAACCCAGATCGAAACTTCAGAGTTGGAGATAGATAGAGAGAGAGAAGAAAGGGCGTATTTGATGTGACGGAGTTGTTAGAGAAAGCCCTATCTTCTCTCTTTTCTGTGAACCTCTTCGGCTCCATCTAACCGAATTGATCGGAAACTGAGAAGGATTTCGTTGAATTGAGAGGTGGGTTTTTCTCGTATGGTCTTGATTCTTTCTGCGTGTTCTTTGAATCTTTTTTTTGAATCGATGGTTTCTACTGAATATAGTGGGGGGGTTTTCTGATTTGTTTCTCGTCTTCTTGTTTTGGGATAGAGAATCAATAATGGCCGGATCAGACGAGAACAATAACCCGGGTGTGATTGGACCCGCCCCGACTATGCAAGGTATTAATCGCCGGAATCCGAACTGGTTTTGTCTCCAATTCGAAATTTTCCGATTGGGGGTTTTCACTTTGGATTGGTTGACTTCTTTGTTTCCTAGTGGGTCTGCGCGCCGGAGTCGGGAAATTGCCGCCGGTGGCCGCCGCCGGAGGGAATCGTCGAGCGTTGAGTGCTATCAATCGGAATATAGTTGGAGCGCCGACTTACCCACCTGTGTAAGTTCAATTAGTTCTCTTAGTAAAAGAGTGAAAGCTTCTAATCGCCGGTACCAAGATTATGTCAATCTTTACTTAGTTGCCTGATTTGGCTTTCTTTTTCCGCTACAGTAAGCAATGTGATAACAAGAATCAGCCTGTTCATCGTCCAATCACTAGGTCAGTAGAGCAACCAAACCCCTAGGTTTTGCTTGGTTCAAATTCTAAGCACTTTTGCTTACTAGGGTTCTTTTTGTCCCGTTCTTTTTTCAGGAGATTTGCTGCACAAATTGCCACAAAGCAAGATCCTAAGCCACAAGTGGTAATCTTTTAAGGTTTCTGTATGATGAATGAATCTCTCTTAAAGTGTTTGTAAATCTAAAGCGATTGGGTATGTACAGGAACTGAAGAATGAATCACAAGACATTGCAATCACTGATGCAGAAGAAGACTTCTCCTTCTCCGAACCAATGTTTGTACAACACACCGAAGCAATGCTGGAAGACATTGACAGAATGGTAAAAAGTTCAAGAGATCTTTCAGTAATAGTTCCGTTTGAGCAAAAAGTTTTCTTTCATCACTGACTTGATGTCGATTTGCTTGGTTTCTAGCAGGAAGTGGAAATGGAAGATGTTGCGTCTGAAGAAGCAGAAGAAGAAGGACAAGACTTAGTTGTAGATATAGATGGTTGTGATGAGAACAACCCACTTGCTGTGACTGAATACATTGACGATCTGTTCACATTCTACAGGAAATCTGAGGTTACTAGTGCCGTCTCGCCAAACTACATGGCTAACCAATTCGATATCAATGAAAGGATGAGAGGCATTCTGATTGACTGGTTGATTGAGGTAATTTGTTTATGCATACTCGAAGATGGGAAATTTGTTGACATTCTGTTTGAATGGATGGATCAAACTGACTTTATTTGACTGTGTGATGACTACAGGTGCACTACAAGTTTGAGTTGATGGATGAGACTCTTTATCTTACTGTGAATCTCATTGATAGATTCTTGGCTGTCCATTCTCTTGTGAGGAAGAAACTCCAGCTGGTTGGAGTTACAGCCATGCTTCTTGCTTGCAAATATGAAGAAGTTTCTGTGCCTGTTGTCGATGATCTCATCCTAATTTCTGACAAGGCATACAGTAGAAAAGAAGTTCTTGACATGGTAAGCCTCAAATACAAGAAATGCACTTTTAAAATTGAAACTTCTTCATCAATCTAACTAGTTTTTTGTGCCTTACTCTTTCTACCGCAGGAGAAGTTAATTGTGCATGCGTTACAGTTCAATATGTCAGTCCCAACTCCATATGTTTTCATGAAGAGATTTCTCAAAGCTGCCCAATCTGACAAGAAGGTTTGTGAACTTGTGAACAAAGATTCAAACGTTGAGGCCTGATTTAGTAAACCTGATCACTTATGACCTTTTCTCTTTTCACAGCTTGAGCTTCTATCATTCTTTCTGATTGAGCTGTGCTTAGTGGAGTATGAAATGCTGAAATACCCACCTTCATTGATGTCTGCTGCTGCAATCTACACAGCACAGTGCTGCCTCTATGGCTCCAGCCAGTGGAACAAGACTCATGAGTGGTACAGTAGCTACTCGGAAGATCAACTTCTGTAAGTCCTAGCAAAAAAGATATCTTCTTTCTTCTACCTATCATTCTGAACATGTACCGGTCTTCTAAAGCCACAAATTACATCGGCTTGTACATTCATTTGACTAAATCAATGCACATATCATTCTGAACATGGTCCTTCCCTCTGTTGGTTTTACAGGGAATGCTCAAGACTGATTGTGGGATTTCATCAGAATTCTGGGAAAGGGAAGCTAACTGGTGTCCACAGAAAGTACAGTACTTCGAAGTTTGGATTTGCTACAAGAACTCAACCTGCTAGCTTCCTACTACTCCTGTAGAAGAAAGGCTGATTCTGAGTAGATGCTTTGACTGTGATTCATTTGATGATGAAGCCTGCAACTGAAGTTTGGGGAGGAAGTAACAAATTGACATGATCAGCAACTGAAGTTGCCTTTTGAAGAGAACTCTACTCTCTTCTTGTTCTCTCTTGAATCCATTTTGCAGTTTCTTCGCTGAACCTAGTAAAAGTAATCTGTTTGACCCTTAGGTCGGTCAAGTTGTAATGGTATGTGGATATGTGACGGAAACAAACAAAAACACATAGCAGCAGCCAGGAGTCTGTTGTTCTTACTTTACTCTTTCTCTTCAAGAGTGTGGTGGAAATAATAACATAGATAGTTTGGATTCAAAGTATTTCAAAGTTTCAAGTGTGTGCATTCCTTTGATCCTTTCTTCTGAGTCACTCCACCACTAAAGTGAAAATCTTTTTACATTTACCTGTTCATTTCACCTGCCGGTCTCCTAGTATACTATTGGAACTTGAGAGTGTGAATGTATTAGTATTTGTATGGGAAATTTTGCTTGAAAAGTTTAAAGGAACATGGGATGCAGTTCACTGCAAATGCAATGCCTCTTGTTATGTGGTGAAAATGGGACTATAAAATCTACAACCTGATGAAATGCAACAACTGTTGGTATGACAAGTAAGCAAGTGGACAACTTTCACGGAAGATTGTCTTTCACTTGGAAAATGAAATGGGCTGACTGATGATTTTGTAGCACTGTGGTACACGAAAAATCATTTGGCATGAGTAAGTTGCTGATTACGTAAATAAGTTCAAAATATATACAAGTGGGTATTATTTTTATATATCTCATTGAATTGAATTTTTTTTTGTGTAAAAATAATTGAAATCCGAGTAGAAAAGAAATGAATATGTACCTTTCGAAATTCATGGGAGGAAAGAATGAAATAGAGAGAGATTGAGAGAATGGCATATGGACTATGGAGATTGGAGTGCTCTTGAAAGATTGATTAATATTTTGTTTTAATTTTAATTAGAAAAAGCCCAATGGGTCCTTACTAGAAATTCAAAATGGTGAAATAGAAATTCCAAAAACTCCAACAGATATATGGTGGACAAAATAATCATTTTATCTATTCGCATCCAAATTCATATTCAACGAAAAAACTGTTGACTCTTCGCAAAAGTTAGTAAAAAATATCATACACCTAATTAACCTTTAAACTACATTTTCCCATGACAAATAGATGAAAGAATTGTTTTGTTATATCATAATATGTATGGGGTTGTTGTAACATATTATTTGACAGAGACCTTATGCAAGGTCTGTAATGGTAAGTCGGTGATGGGCAAGATATTGATGTCTTCTTTGATAGATAGAATCCTTCGGTGAAACCAGCAACTCCGGTGGTTCATATAGCTAATACTAATAATTCACTAAGAGTTTCTTTTTCTATCGGACAAGGTGCGCTGGATTGGCATGTTCCAAGGTGAAAGTATTGTTTTGACCCTCAATCAGTTGACCTTATATGCAAGGTGACCCTCCTCATCTCCCTCAAAAGGTTTTTCGAATATGACACTTTAATAAAAATGGTAAATATTATGTGAAGTCGAGATATCATTTGTCCTAGAAGGTATTCTTGCTCCTAGCTGAAAGTCTTTGGCCCATATCATTGATCCTCCTATGTGGAAAAAAAATAAAATAATAAAAACTTGGGAAATCTACGTCCCTCCAAAGCTAAATTTTTTCATCTGACAATGTCTGAAAGTGGTCATGCCTCCAACACTAGCGCTCCAAACCCGGGGAGTAAACTGCCTGACTCGATGCCTTATTTGATGGATGGATCATGAGAGTATTGAACATTTGTTCTTTCATTGTCCCAAGACCATCCAACTATGGTCTTTTGTGGGTTTAAGCATCGTGCTTGTTTCAGTCGCGATGATGAATTTCAATCTAAGGTGCATCAAGTTGTGCTTAAATAGCAATCTCAAACCCTTATTCTCTAGTTTATTTGTCTTTTGTGGAGAATTTGGAAATCTAGAAATAAAATGGTATTTAAAAATATTCAACCTCATGTTTGTTCGCTAGCTCGTCAATACTTTTACCATGTCCGTGATGATGTTCTCTTCCTTGCCTCATGCCTACTTTATTCTTCTCCACGCTCCTCCATCCTCCCTGCCTCTCTAGGAAAGCCCACCCGATGAGCATTTGTAGATCAACTTCGACAATGTTATCCATGCCTCTGGGTGCTCACTGGGGTCTTGTTGTGCGTGGCTCGGTTGAGCACGTGTTGGGTTTCCGACATCAAGGTATCTTTCACCCCTATCTTGCAGAGTTACTAGCTGCAAAGGATGCCATTTTAGTTGCGGTCTGAAGAAGGTTGTCTCGCGCTATCTTAGAAGAAGATGTCAAGGTTGTCATCCATCATATTATGCAAGGAGTGATGTTGGAGTCGAGTGGTGGGCCCCTGTTTCGGGAGTGTCGTCATCTTCTTAATTCTTTCTCTCGTTGTATAGATTATAGGACAGTTCAACGGACTACCAACTAGGCTACTCATTTAGTAACAAGCCACCATTTTTAGGGATGGCAATTTCGACCTGACCCGTTTTACCCGACCTGTTTGACCTGTTTTGGGGCGGGTCGGACCCGCCCCGTAGGCGGGGCGGGGTAGGCATGGGTAGTCTCATCGACCCGACCTGCCCTGACCCGCCCCATTCTTGACCCGTTATTGTCTAAATTACATGAAATCTTAGTCAAATTACTTTGAATTTTCCTTTTATTGCATCATATTTTAGCTATAATAAAGTTGTAAATTAGTGAAAACCTCAATTTCTCCAATAATTTAACTACAATTGTCATAATATTGTTTGTTTTCTTAGTTTTATAATAAAAATAGCAAATGTTTTTAATGTTTTTCATATAAATTGCATACCCATTGGATCGACCTACCCCAACCCGTGACCCGTGATCAATTACCCGACCTGGACCCGCCCTGCCACGGGGCGGGTCTGGGTACCAAAAAACCCGCCCCGGACCTGCCCATTGCCATTCCTAACCATTTTCACTCCTGCATTATTTAGCCACCATCTAATATTAACCTCCAAATGTCCAAATAACATTCCCAGTTCCATCCACCAACCACACCCTCAAAAGAAAAAAATCTTCCCATGGGTAAATAAAATATTCTAGGGATTCAGAATCATGGAAGTAAGGGGATTGGATGCACCGATTGACGGGCAGCGACGGCGCCTAGTGGGAGCTTGGCGGGACATGGGGTTCACAGCTGCAACCCACCGCCCTGCCCCTGCCCCACGTATCTTTTCCCTACTGAAGAACACATCTTCGATCCTACTCAATGCCACGCTGATCCAATCTGGCAGCCTAATCCAAAATCCCTACCAAACAAAACCCTGTTCCAATTTTTTAATCTCTCCCTCAAAAGATTCTCACTTTTCCCCGCGAACCCTTTTGCTTCCCATTTATTAACTCTCCCCACTCTCTCGAATCTCGATCATCACTCTAGTTCTTATCTCCCGCTTCCCTTTCTCAAATTCCCCTGCAGAATTTCCTCGAACGATTTGGATATTCAAACAGGTAATTCGCTGATGAGAAAATGAACTGCTGAGAAATATTTTCTATTTTTTTTGACAGTACCCATATCATGTTTTATTTTTGTTTGTCAATTTCAAGGATCTTTTCCTTTCCTTTTTGGTGGGCTTTTGCCTCAGATATTTTTGGTTCTGAATTAGTCATATGCAGGATAAGGATGTGGTGTAGGATTGATGTTTGAGTTTTCTGCTTGCCTGGGGTCGAGATTTTTATGCAAGTTGTGGTGGGTTTGATTTCTTTCAGAGGTCTTCCAGTTTGCTCTTCAGAAAGCGATGTTTTTTTCTACCACTCATTCCGTTCTGCCTATTTATAGCCCCAATTTCGTCAACTTTCAGCCATGTCAGCAGATCTTTGATCAATTTGAGGCTGATGGGTTCCCTTCGTTAAACAAATGTCTGCTGATTTCTTATCTTGTTCGACAATTTGAGTCTTTTTCCCGTTCTTATCCTACTTGATGAATCTTTTGCCATTCTTTCCTCAGCAGGATAAGCCATTTCTGGAGGTTCTAATTGATACTGATCATCTGGTGGATTGTAAAGAGAGAGAGAATATAGAAAAATGTTGGAAGAGAAAGAGAAGAAGTTCCTCACGGTAGCACCATTCCAGTGTGCTTGGAGGAAAGACTTGAAATTCCGGGAAGCTGGAAGAGGCTGTGTAGCATTCGACGCATTTGCTCACAACGATGTCACAGTCGTCTTCAGAGAGAATGTCGGTACTCTCCACTACCATTACAAGAGGGACAACAGCCCTCATTACACTGTGATCCTCGGCAGCAACCGGAACCGAAGATTGAAGATTGAAGCAGACGGGAAGACGGAGGTCGATGTGGAAGGTATTGGATTATGCTCCTCTACTTTCCAGAGTTACTGGATCAGCATTTACGATGGGTTGATCAGCATCGGAAAAGGAAGGTACCCGTTCCAGAATCTCATGTTTCAGTGGCTGCATTCGAATCCGAATTGTAACGTTCGTTATGTCGGGCTCAGTAGCTGGGATAGGCATGTGGGTTATAGGAATGTGAATGTGTTGCCATTGCCTCATGACCATATGTTGCTGTGGAAGCAAGTCGATTCGGGAGAGTTTGAAGGGAAGGAAGACAGTGAAGAGGAGTTGGAAGGTGAGGAAGTTGAGGATGAGGAATGGGGGCTTCAGAATTTCCTGGAAAGCTGGGAACTTTCTGATGTCTTCTTCATTGTTGGCATGGAGGAAAGACCCGTTCCAGCTCACAAAGTCATTCTGCAAGCTTCTGGTAATTTCCCTTTCAGTTCATCGGATGAAGATGTTATCCAGCTTAAGAGTGTAGCATATCCAGTTATGCGTTCACTTCTTCAGTACATTTATGCTGGTCGAACCCAGGTATTGTGCCTTTTAAATCTTCCATTGGCCTTATATGATTTGGCTTTGGTGGTCAGTTATATGCTTTTTAGGAGTGCAAACTGATATACTTTTGTGCCTTTTATGGATTTCCATTTCCTTCAATGTAGGTTTTGGAGTCGGAAGTTGAGATGTTGATGGCGTTGAGTCTGCAATTTGAGGTGACGCCCTTGGCAAAGCAGTGTGAAGAAATTTTGGAAAGGTGTAAACTAAATAAGAAGTTGTTTGGACATGGGAAGAGTGTGGAATTGTTGTATCCATACTCTCGACCCCATTCTTGTACGATGTTCCCTGCCGGACTCCCTGTGAATCAGAAACGGCTCAGTGAATTACATTCAGCTGGGGAGTACAGTGATCTAAATATTTACATTGAGGGATATGGACTTGTTGCACAACCTCATAAGATTGTTGTCAGCATATGGAGTGTTCCATTTGCCAAGGTAGGAAACTTCTAGCAATTTCAGATGTGTTTGTTTTGTTCTTTTCATTGATTGGATTGGCTTAAGGACTTGTACTCTGCATGGCAGATGTTCACAAACGGAATGAGTGAGAGCTGCTCATCTGAAGTTCATCTAAGAGATGTGCCACTGCAGGCATTCAAGATAATGCTCGAATTCATGTATAGTGGGGATCTCAATTTGGAGGACACTACAGATTCTGGAACTTTGTTACTCCAACTTCTTTTGTTGGCTGACCAATTCGGAGTCACTATTCTCTATCAGGAATGCTGCAAAACGCTTTTAGAATGTCTATCGGAGGTAGCTAATCTTCACCTCAGCAGATAATGCAATGTAGCAAATGCTATTAGTCTTCTTTTTCACTTTGTTATCATGATATGTTCTTGTCTGGCTAGAGTTATAAGAACGGAGAGGGAGTTGCGATCCGGGACAAAAGAAGAGATCGCTTTTGGATCTTGAATTATTAGATATTAACACTTTTTCATGTACATATTATATGCAGGGATGGAGTTCTCCTAGTGGAAGGTGGTCAATACAACAAGTTTTTGTATTATGCACAAGTTTAATGGACGACGAAGCAGACAAATTTGGGAAGTTAATAGGGTTATTGCTTTGAAAGCTAACTGTTACAACTTTGTTGCAGGACGTTGTGTGTCCAATCCTGCAAGTCGTTTCATCGATTTCATCCTGTAAACTCATTGAAGAAACGTGTGAGAGAAAGTTCGCAATGCAATTTGATTATTGTACAACCGCAAGCCTTGACTTCGTTTTGTTAGATGAGGCAACTTTTGGTAACATCATTCAGGTGGGTTCTCATTCTTCAGATGACTTGAGAAGACATCATGTGTAGCTATTCTTCATATTATATCGTGAAAAAGGGAGAGCCCTGCAGTTTAGATAAATTTTAGCATCTATCCTAGATTACTTGTAGGTTAGACGGAATGCACATGTAAGAGTGAGCAATGTATCTTAGCTGAGTGGTTGGAGTTGAAACTAGTTGCCTCAACTGGCATTGACCTTGGAGATTGAAATTGACTCTTTGACCCGTTTCTTCATGGCTAGAATTCTGTCTTGTAACTGGGTGGAAATATCAACTGAACAGAGTCTTATAAGAAATAGTGGCTTTGCAGCATCAAGATCTAACAGTAACATCCGAGGAGAGAGTTCTCAATGCCATTCTGATATGGTGCTTGCAAGCCAAGGAACTATGTGGGTGGGAAGCAGTGGATGAACTGGTTGCATTCAAAACCCTTGACCTACTTTTCGGTGAGCGGCTTCAGGCTCTGAATGATCTGCTGCCATTTGTCAGGTTTCCACTGCTTCCGTACAACTTACTTAAAAGGGTAAGTATTGTTCCGGACAGATCAATTCATTTACCAGTGCTTCCGTACAACTTACTCAAATCATTAAGAAGATTGCTAACAACCTTAGTCTGATTATGTTTGGCAGTTGGAGCAGAGCAACCTTTGCAAGCAGATATATATTTTTTATGATCTTGTATGTAGCTTTCCTCCCAAGATAAGATGGTCTTAGCACAAATGAGTAAGGTTTGGGTTCTTATTCTTTTATCCTGAATTTCACAGGTGAGGGAGGCAATCGCATATCTGGATTTTGGACTTACTAACAACAACCGACTAAAAGACCAGAGGTAAGAATATTATCCCTTTTTCATGAAAAGATAACAGCCCTTGTAACTGATATATTCTAGGTTTTGTGTGCATCTTCTATGATGGTGCATTCAAGAACCGTACTCACAATTTCCTTTCTTTGTTTCAGCCTAAGGTTTCAACATAGGCGATCCAGTTACAAGGAGCTGCAGTACATTTGTGATGGGGACAGCAATGGAGTTCTGCACTTTGCTGGCACTTCTTATGGGCAGCATCGGTGGGTTAATCCTGTTCTATCAAAGGTTGGGTTTGCTCTCTCTGTATTATTTCCCTCATCTGAAAAGAAAAAAGCAGTATGAACTTCAATAGTTTTATAAGTTATTCTGTTGGCGTTCGGATTTCCAGAGAATCGACATAACAGCAAGCTGCCCAGCTTCAAGATATACAGACCCTAAGGCTTTGGCATCAAGGACCTATCAGGTTGGGAACAAGCTCAACTGCTGGTCGAGTTTCCCCCTCAAGTCTGAGTTCCATTATGTTCACTGAATGTGCTTTGGTCTTTCTTCTAGGGAATGTGCTTTACTGGACCCAGAATAGAAGATGGACGAGTACGCTCATGGTGGATGGTTGACATTGGCCAAGATCATCAGGTATTGTATGATCCTCTCTTTGGAGTGTTTCCAGTAACTAATAGCTTGCCTTCGCCTTCCTCCATAAGGCACGGATAAAAAAAATTCTGATTCGTGTTATGCAGCTTATGTGCAACCACTACACGTTGAGGCTAGACGGCTCAAGAGCTTATATAAGGTCTTGGAAATTCCAGGTAAAGAGTTTCTGGTCCCATGCTACATCTAACTTTGGCTTGAAAGCATTCATTCCCACTTCCCAGTCCTTTGAACTGGACACTAAAATTGGATGTTGGATGACAGGGCTCGTTGGATGCCAAGACATGGACGGATTTAAGAACACACAACGACGACCAATCAATGAGCAAACCAGGCCAGTTTGCGTCGTGGCAGATCACGGGGCCGAATGCACTGCTGCCGTTCAGATACTTTAGAGTGATGTTAACTGGTCCGACGACCGATGTATCGAATCCCTGGAACCTGTGCATTTGCTTCTTGGAACTCTACGGTTTCTTTCGTTAATGCTGCTGTTCAGTTTCTTCATTTGCGATGACGTTTTGTGTTTGTTTAGAAAGAAGTCATTGTGTACCATCGAAAGAAAAAAATGTACCAATGATGCATATGTGGGGGTGGCTCTGGTTCTTTCTTCCCCTTCGTTCAAATAAAAAAGAGAAGGTCAATTTCCAAGTGCAATCTCGTTATTTTGTGTCTCCAAGTTCAAGGGCCTTTTGGGCTACTTATATTGGGCTCTACTGGCCAGTGATACAATTGGTTTATTAGTATGTAAAAATGTGAAAAATTATTAACATTAAATTAATTTAATAATAAATAAAATATATTTGTAAACAATTATTATAATTTATATTCATATTTTAATAAAATACAATAATAAAATAAAAGAAAAATATTCATTTAAGTACAACGTTTAGCGTCAAACCCCCAAATTTTATTAACCGATGTCAATCTAGATAATTCTAGATCTAGATCTAGATAATAAATAAAAGCCGAATGATGAAAATTGTTGCTCCATTTCAAATTTCCTGCAACGAGAGTGATTATAGGAAGGACATTTTGGTCTTCACAATTACTTATTTTCTTATTTATTTATTCATAAAAAAGGCATGCACTGGGATTTGAACCTTGGTCTCTTTAAAGGCAAACAAGGATCATAACCAATCACACTAAGTATATTTATTGTATCTATTTAAATTCAAACATACACGAACCTAAATTATGAAAATCATATGATTTTTTTAACGATTAGTTGGCCACTGAATCTCCCGTAAGTACTTATTTGGTGTTTTAATACTTTGATTATTTTAGTTGTAGTTTAATACTTAATTTAAATTTCTATCTATTTTATAAATATACAATAACCCTAAAATTGCAGCCCAAATATCACTGGTTCGAATATTGCATATCGAATTGCAATATTAAACATGTAGAAGCGATATCGACTTCTTAAATTAATATTATTTTTCAGAATTACTATGGAGAAATTATATCTTTGTGCAAACTATATGAGACTGGTTCTTTTAATGTTTTAGTCGGGATAACCGCTACATTTTAAACTTCTTCATAATTTGGCATGATTGGATCCAATGATCATTATACAAGATTGTGTTTAATAGGGTGGCTCATTTCACCACTTTTTGGCGTGTTAATGAATTTGTAGGACAATGACAGGTCTACATCTACACTCATCACAATCTACACATCACATAAATGTGAAATGTGAAATGAGAAAAGAGAAAAGAGAAGAGGATTCCATTTCAAATTTGATGCGTACAGAGCAATTTTTTAGGGGTAAATTTAGAAGATGCCAGTGCGGTCGGTCTGTTGAGCACGAAAGTAAAAATATATTTTCATTTAAACGGGCCCAAACTGTTATTTGGCCCACTAATCGTGCACCCATCGCCAATGCAGTCAAATTCGGGATTTTGATCGTAAAATCGTAGGATTTTAGGATTTAACTTAGGGATTCCGATCTTGATTTTACTATAAAATCGGTGGACCTTAAAATCGTTTAAAATCGAGACTAAAATCGTTAAAATCGTAAAATAGTACCGAAATCGGGATTTTGATCGTAAGAGAACAAAATAGGTGGTTTGAGCCAATTTAAAATAAGTATAACTCTTTCAGCGGAAAGGGCAATGGAATCTTCTCAGATATTTTTCTATTAGAAAAATATTCAAAAATAATAAAAATAACCAAATTAGGGTTCGGTTAATCTCTTTCCCTTCACCCCATTTAACTTATTGGTAAAACACCTGTCCTAATATTCGAAGTATGTAAGAACTAACATCATTATTAACTAATTAATTTATTAATGAATATATTTGTACCAAGCCACTAACATTACTTATTTTATTGGAGTTCAATTATTTTTAGTTTTAAATCATACTTAGTAGACGATGTCGAAATATTACTTTGAGTTAAACAACCTAGACATAATATGAAAATAAGAGCCAAACCCATGAACTATATCCCTTCATCATGAATTATTTTGAGTTACACATTAAATAACAATTAAAATAGTGATTTTGAAACATTAATCTTGAGAATTATCTTATGGAAAAAAAAATCTTCTGAATTATCATTTTAAATGCTATGTGTCTTTGTGATATTAATAATTTACCTTATTAATATTCTTATATGCTATGTTCTATATGGTACTTAAAATCCTACGATTTTACGATTCGATTATACGATTTTGATTTTACCCCAGTTTTCGATTTTAGGTAAAATCTCGATTTTAACTGCTTTGCCCATCGCAACCTCTCCAAATCTTCCTATTCTACTCGCCGGGTCATCTCCTCCACTACAAAATATCTCCTCATGTACTCAAAGTTCTCACTGAAACCTAATATCTACAACTTAGGCGCAGAGGGAGCAACCGATGGATTGTAGCGACCCCCACTATTTTGATAGCTAATCAAGAAGAGCGCGTTTGTTTAGTTGTATGGTGATTCACTTAATTAACAATTTTTATTCCGTTGACAGCCTCCTCTCCGCAATTATATTGTGTTCACGAAGATCTGAAGGCGCAAGTGCAACAGGTCCAGGGGTAAACAATATGTATAAAGCGTTGGCCAAATTGAATTGAGTCATTCTACTTGGAATATGAAGATTTTTGCTTAATTGCTTTGGTTCGTGATGCAACTATGTTATGTTTGAAGGTAGACCAACGCAAACAACAGCACAGCTCCAAGGCTATTCTGCACATTAGGTAGTTGGGGCATTAATTGATAATTATTTGGGATTATTCCTACAAGTACATAATTTGGAACGTGCCATTATATTGCATTGATTAATAGTTGTTTGAGATTTTTCAAATAAGTGATTTGACATGTTAAACTCTCTTATTTTTGAAAATGGAGTCTTCGAAGTGGAATATGAAGATTTTGGATTAAGCTTGGTTTCGTAACGCCCTTATGGGTGTTTATTCTCTAAAATGCAGCTGTCTTTCAAAGTGCCGTTGCAAATGGCAAGTCAAGATACAACGATGGTACCGGTACACGTTTATATCATTAGTAGGTAGCAGATTGTGTCCATTCTACTATATCATTTAGCTAAATACTTAGTTGTTCTTTTCAACTAAAAATTATGCTTAAATGCTGTGATTGGCCTCAGAAATGTATGTCTTTGCATTAACTGTTAATGATTGTGAGTTTTGGTTTAATGGTGAAAAGTCCATTTATTTAGAAGTCTAAATTGGGCAAACCTATTGGACAATAGGAATGCCATACATTAGTGTCGTGGGAGGTTTGTTTGATGTCTCAGGGTGTTAGATTTTTAAGAAGGTTGTTTGTTGTGGCAGAGAGTCCCTAAAGCTAGCGAGGTATTCCTATGTGGGCTTTTTCTTTGTTTGACTTTTTCTCGCCTTTTTTCTTATCTCTTTTTCTATTTTTGGTTTTTGTGTGCTACCTTCAGTTGCTACGTCTTCATTTGTGAGTCATCTATACTTTTCTTATTTAGTGCCTAAAAATCATATATACTCGATTGCATAGTAGTTACTAATAGATACATTTATACCAATAGAGAGATTTTAAGTTTTATCAGTTGTTAGTTTTAATATTTACTTACATTGGTTGTTTATGTAGTTTTCTTTGTAATATTTCTCATTATACAAATAATTACTATGGCTACGTAGTTGTATAAGTGGGGGTTGGACATGATAGTTCTTAGAAGCATCAATACTTGAAGGTTATTATAATGACCAAATTCTAAAGTTATGGTTTGCCTTCAACTTGCTTGGAGCATTTCAATTATGCATCAATTGTTCTCTCCGTGTAGTTAACTCTCAGACAAATCGAAAATCTTGCTGATATGTGCTTGATTGTAGTTAAATTTAGGGTTCTACTACATTGTTGCTTTACTCTTTTTTCGTGGTTGAGTCTGCTTCAAAAAATTTAGTTTGATTTTAGAAAATTTATCTTCTGCAGTCCTGTCTTGCCACCAACGCGTTCAATAGATGGAGACGGGAGAGGCGAATGCTATTTTTGTGTTGTTGCTGCTGGTTTAGGGATCGGTTTGTGAAGAAGAGGGAGAAGAGAGGGGGAAAGGGAAATGCAGGAGAGGGGGATAACTCTTTTCTCCGACAAAAATGGAGTGAAGAAAGGAATTATGATCAGTAAGAATATGGTTATCTTACATAACGGTCTCTATTCTGTTTGAATTGAGCTTGAGAGGCAGTGATAAGGACGAGCTGCAACCAATTCATAGTGAGAAGAGAGCTATGAACTGTGATCATGTCTTATTTCAAGTTAGAAGGTAGTTTCAGTATAAGGATTATTTAATTTGACAAGTTGTTTCGTCCATGATTCTTGGTAGTTTCAGTGCCATTCTAGCCAATGTTTAGTCTGTAATTTTTGAGAATTGATGTGCGAGTAATGACTTTCACTTAGCTTCAACTATTATGTGTGTATTTATTGGCATGTGATAGAATTCTCTTTTCCTTTTCATTGAATTCATTTTCATACTCTAATTGTATTATTTGTACATAGACAAATCATGCTCGAGATGGTAACTCGCTGATATGGCTGGTGCAAGGAATGAAGCCATCATTAGAATTCAGATCGACAACGGGGAGGGATGCCCAGGACTAATTCAATGATGATTGATGATGGTATAATAAAAACTGCAGTCTGCATCAGCACCAATTTCTAGGCCTAAGTAAAGGTATTCAACCCAGAACTCTGCTTAGCGCTAAAAATTGCCCTCACCCAACCTTGATCCTGTTTGACCCACTTCTGAAGAGTCAAGATATATGACTAATCCTCCCCGTTCGTATTTTCTTATTGACTCTTTCTGACCCTGTAGGTTGGGGCGGGTCGGGAAGAATTGGATTAGTGGGTCGGTCCTAATCAAGTGGAATCCCAATCCCTTCACTCTCACTTGCTTTCTCTCCCATTCCACAAGTGGGTAACATTAACATACAGTAATCCGGCCAACGGGCCGGGTAATAAGCTAGTAATAAATAAAAGCCGAATGATGAAAACTGTTGCTCCATTTCAAATTTCCTGCAACGAGAGTGATTATAGGAAGGACATTTTGGTCTTCACAATTGCTTATTTTCTTATTTATTTATTCATAAAAAAGGCATGCACTGGGATTTGAACCTTGGTCTCTTTAAAGGCAAGCAAGGATCATAACCAATCACACTAAGTATATTTGTTGTATCTATTTAAATTCAAACATACACGAACCTAAATTATGAAAATCATATGACTTTTTTAACGATTAGTTGGCCACTGAATCTCCCGTAAATACTTATTTGGTGTTTTAATACTTTGATTATTTTAGTTGTAGTTTAATACTTAATTTAAATTCCTATCTATTTTATAAATATACAATAACCCTAAAATTGCAGCCCAAATATCACTGGTTCGAATATTGCATATCGAATTGCAATATTAAACATGTAGAAGCAATATCGACTTCTTAAATTAATATTATTTTTCAGAATTACTATGGAGAAATTATATCTTTGTGCAAACTATATGAGACTGGTTCTTTTAATGTTTTAGTCGGGATAACCGCTACATTTTAAACTTCTTCATAATCTGGCATGATTGGATCCAATGATCATTATACAAGATTGTGTTTAATAGGGTGGCTCATTTCACCACTTTTTGGCGTGTTAATGAATTTGTAGGACAATGACAGGTCTACATCTACACTCATCACAATCTACACATCATATAAATGTGAAATGTGAAATGAGAAAAGAGGGATTCCATTTCAAATTTGATGCGTACAGAGCAATTTTTTAGGGGTAAATTTAGAAGATGCCAGTGCGGTCGGTCTGTTGAGCACGAAAGTAAAAATATGTTTTCATTTAAACGGGCCCAAACTGTTATTTGGCCCACTGATCGTGCACCCATCGCCAATGCAGTCAAGTTTGGGATTTTGATCGTAAAATCGTAGGATTTTAGGATTTTACTTAGGGATTCCGATCTTGATTTTACTATAAAATCGGTGGACCTTAAAATCGTTTAAAATCGGGATTTTGATCGTAAGAGAACAAAATAGGTGGTTTGAGCCAATTTAAAATAAGTATAACTGTTTCAGCGGAAAGGGCAATGGAATCTTCTCAGATATTTTTCTATTAGATTGGTTGTTTATGTAGTTTTCTTTGTAATATTTCTCATTATACAACTAATTACTATGGCTACGTAGTTGTATAAGTGGGGGTTGGACATGATAGTTCTTAGAAGCATCAATACTTGAAGGTTATTATAATGACCAAATTCTAAAGTTATGGTTTGCCTTCAACTTGCTTGGAGCATTTCAATTATGCATCAATTGTTCTCTCCGTGTAGTTAACTCTCAGACAAATCGAAAATCTTGCTGATATGTGCTTGATTGTAGTTAAATTTAGGGTTCTACTGCATTGTTGCTTTACACTTTTTTCGTGGTTGAGTCTGCTTCAAAAAATTTAGTTTGATTTTAGAAAATCTTGCTTCTGCAGTCCTGTCTTGCCACCAACGTGTTCAATAGATGGAGACGGGAGAGGCGAAGGCTATTTTTGTGTTGTTGTTGCTGGTTTAGGGATCGGTTTGTGAAGAAGAGGGAGAAGAGAGGGGGAAAGGGAAATGCAGGAGAGGGGGATAACTCTTTTCTCCGACAAAAATGGAGTGAAGAAAGGAATTATGATCAGTAAGAATATGGTTATCTTACATAACGGTCTCTATTCTGTTTGAATTGAGCTTGAGAGGCAGTGATAAGGACGAGCTGCAGCCAATTCATAGTGAGAAGAGAGCTATGAACTGTGATCATGTCTTATTTCAAGTTAGAAGGTAGTTTCAGTATAAGGATTATTTAATTTGACAAGTTGTTTCGTCCATGATTCTTGGTAGTTTCAGTGCCATTCTAGCTAATGTTTAGTCTGTAATTTTTGAGAATTGATGTGCGAGTAATGACTTTCACTTAGCTTCAACTATTATGTGTGTATTTATTGGCATGTGATAGAATTCTCTTTTCCTTTTCATTGAATTCATTTTCATACTCTAATTGTATTATTTGTACATAGGCAAATCATGCTCGAGATGGCAACTCGCTGATATGGCTTGTGCAAGGAATGAAGCCATCATTAGAATTCAGACCGACAACGGGGAGGGATGCCCAGGACTAATTCAATGATGATTGATGATGGTATAATAAAAACTGCAGTTTGCATCAGCACCAATTTCTAGGCCTAAGTAAAGATATTCAACCCAGAACTCTGCTTAGCGCTAAAAATTACCCTCACCCAACCTTGATCCTGTTTGACCCACTTCTGAAGAGTCAAGATATATGACTAATCCTCCCCGTTCGTATTTTCTTATTGACTCTTTCTGACCATGTAGGTTGGGGCGGGTCGGGAAGAATTGGATTAGTGGGTCGGTCCTAATCAAGTGGAATCCCAATTCCTTCACTCTCACTTGCTTTCTCTCCCATTTCACAAGTGGGTAACATTAACATACAGTAATCCGGCCAACGGGCCGGGTAATAAGCTAGTTTGTTTATAGACTGAAAGTTTATTTTATCGGTAATACCGTTGGTATTCCTGCCGGTTCATAACCGGTATGGTTCAACCTGCCGGCATTTCACGAGCATGACAACCATATAATAGAGAGCACAGAAACACAAAGGCCACGTAGCAATAAGTTCTGAAATCTGAACTGGCTGAGGTAATTTTGGTTGGAATTGGATAGGGTCAGTTTTTTTGGACATTGTGGACAGCAAAGTCATGCCACATGAATTCAGAAATCCGAATAAAGCCATAAAGCTGTCTAATATGATAAGAATAAGAAGAGGAAAAGGAACATACATAACACCAGGTAAAAACTTACATTCCACATATTAGGGGAAACAAGTCGTATCAAGTTCCCTCCTCAAGAGCCGTACAAAAGCGCTTTTACATCAAGTTTCTAAGGCATCAAGATTCCAGGGTTCCCTCATGGTTCTCGTCTCGTGGATTCAGGGAAGAAGCTCGCAAATGAACCAACATGAAAACAGCGAATAAGATCTGAAGATTATCCATGAGAAAGGCAGATTTATCTCCTAACAGGTGGCACAACACCCCTCCCAGGTCCTCCACGGCCACCAGCAGCAGCCTGAGCCTGCACAAGGAAGTAAGTTCAGGATATAGTCCCGTCAGGAAGCCATTTAGTGCAGGAATTTCCAAATCCCGGTTTTGGAGCATTGAATAGTCCACTAAGTTGAAAGGTTTCTATGCTTTTAAGTCGAAGGCAAATTAGTCCAAAATGATGCAAGAAAAGAAACAGATCTCCAAGAAGAAAGGAACTCACCTTAGCTCGCATTGCGACAGATCTTCCTCTCCCGACTCCAAGTGACGCACTCTTGCCCTTCAAATAAGATGGAGAGACACATAAAGAGTTGTGCATAATGTAGGAAATGCAAAGGATCCAAATCTCACACAGGCAAAATCACATCAAAGGGTTCTTACCTTGATTCTAGCATCTAGACGCTTGAACATAGGAGCATTCTTTAGCATATCTGGTATGACCATAAACCTGTTGAGAGATAGCACATCGGTTTACTCTGTTCACAGAACAAGATTTTCAAGCCATAATAAGACAACCTTTGGGCACAAAAAAGGAAATGTCAATACTACCTGACTTTACTGCCTCTGATGAAAACATGCTCAAGCTGTGAAACCTTGCCATCCTACAGAGTGCCCTTGTAAAGGTTAGCAACAAACAGAAAGCCCAGAGTACAGAAGAAGGAAACAAATAAGAGACCATTATCTATCTAGGCCCCTTATGTTTGGTTCAACCTACAGACGATTATCTAGGTCCGTCATTGTTGCTTCAGTATACGACGATTATCTAAGTCCATCAGTGTTTCTTGCTTCAGTCTAAAGGACGACTATCTAGGTTCATTATCACTGCAATGATTAGATTCCAAACGCCGCACAGGTCCTTGAACTGAACAAACTGCAAAGGCAATGTAAACTATGGAATACCCTATAATCTCAAAGTGCCAATAATCACATGTGACTATAAGAGCTAGCAGGCATGGAATACCCTACTTTAAGGCTATGGAAGAAACCACCACCATACAGTCACTGAACAATGTTGACTAGCTCCGGATATGCTAGAACAGTAGCAACATAACTCGTGGATTCCACTATCTATGCTGCAGGAAAGAAAGAAACTTCACAGGGAGTACATACTAGATTCTACTACTAGCTCGAAACATCCCAAATCATCCCTTCTACAGCGGCTCACATCGCAGTATAGGGGAGAAAGCAACTCCCCTAAACGCATTTCATTCAGGTTAGCAGGAAATTTTTTTTAACATTTACAATGATCAATTTAACCTAGAAGGATATTAGCTAAACCTGGGGTTTCCCCATCTAATTTCATACTAAACAGAAAATAAACGACCACCTACCACATTCCCTTTCCCGGACACCCAAACACGGAGCGAAGAACGGAAGAAGCCATTGCAAGTTGGTTGGAGAGATAGAAGAGCGACGGAGGTACCTTAGCGGTGTAAGTAATGCTCTCGAGCTGGCAGTTCCAGTTGTCTTCGCACTCCAACATGCTCCCTCTGTAAAGCTCGCCGCTTTTCAGCTCCACCGTCACGATGTGGCCGGAGGCCTCATGGAGTAGCTTAACCGGTATGCCCAAGCTTCTGCTCATCGCTCCGATTCCCCGCTGACGCTACTTCTTCTATTCTCGCCGGTTTCCTTCTCTTTCTCCACCTCTGCTAAACCCTAATTTCACTCAAAATCTCACCGCCCTCTTTTTCCCACGCTCAGGGTCGGGGCTAGGGCGTTTATGCAGCGGCAAAGAAAGGGGAAGGGCATTTCGGTCTTTCAATCTGTTCAGGAGATCGAAGCCGTCGAAAGATGAGGATTGACAAGATTGATTATTGACCGTCGATTCGAAGACGGGCACTGTCCGCGGTCCATGTGATTACTACCTCAAGGCAGGAAGTAATTAAGTACAAATCAGTCCTCCAACTCTACCTTCCTCAACCTTTCAGTGCTTAAATTTTCCTTTTTTAACACACTGCACAAATCCCAGAGAGGTCACTTTGACGGCTGATGAGCTGGCAATATTTCATCTATGGGCTTATCGAGGTTCTGGCCCAGCAAACTACACTAGGATATCTAGCCCATATTCCTTTTGCTGGGTCGGCCCATTTAATCTGATTAAGGCAGTCTCAGATCCATCTTCTCAAGTCTCAACTGGCGGCAGCGTCGCGGTCTCGTTGGCAGACGGCGGCGACGAAGGACAGAGCGAGAAATAAGGAAGTTGGAAGAGCTACGCAAAATCGCTCCCACTCATCTGAAGGACCTGGACAATCTCCGGGACGAAATTGAGAAGATCTAAGGCAAATTCGCCTGCGTGGATTTACCAGAAATGGCGGAAGGAGAGTGGAGGAACCTAGGGAAGAATAAGTACAGTATAATCGTCCCAACTTACAACGAGAGACTCAACATCGCCCTCATCGTTTACCTCATTTTCAAGCATCTCAGGTCAGTCCTCCAATTCGTGAGCTGCGATCTCTTGATTTCGGGAAATTAGTGATATCGAATTTCATGTATCTGTTGAATCGAATCGAACTGCGGTTGGTTTTGATTGAGTTCCTCAATTGCTGCTCTTTTGAAGTTATGGGTTCTTTTGCGGAACCGTGAAAGGTTGACACTTGAAGCAGAGGAATAGCTTGTGCTGTAAAATTGGAACATTCACTTCCATGTGATTAGCAAAGAGGACTTCAGTTAATACTCAGAAGTAAATTTCACCTGTATTGGGCAGATTGATTACTGTTTTTCCCAGTCAGCTGATAGAAAAAATTGAGGTTATGTAGATCGTTGGTTGCTTCATGTTTGAAAGTGGTTTCTGGCTGTTGAATTTGTTTAGGAAAGTACCTGTTATAAGACCACAGTCTAGTTCTAGCTTTCTGTAAGTTTTGGTAATGACAAGCTTCTCTTCTGTGTGATTCAGGGGTGTCGATTTTGAAATCATTGTTGTGGATGATGGTAGTCCAGATGGAACTCAAGATATCGTTAAGCAGTTGCAGCAAGTGTACGGCGAAGACCGTGTTGTATGTTTCTCGACACCCATATGTTGATCTCTAAACTTCTTATAGTCTGGGTCATTCACATTCTGGTTTTTTTATGGCAATGCAGTTGCTAAGAGCTAGACCCAGAAAGCTTGGTCTTGGTAGGTAGAAACTACATACCTTCTTCTCCAATTGATGTTCATGTTAAATTTATGGTTCTTTGACTCGTTGATAACAACTCAGGTACGGCTTACATTCATGGTCTGAAGCATGCCTCGGGCAATTTCGTAGTAATCATGGATGCTGATCTATCTCACCATGTGAGTTCCAGTTGTTTGTTCATTTTATCTAATTTGTAAGTCTATCTATCACAAGAACCATTTACTTCTGTTGCTTATCTTGTTTAACTGTGCTCTGTGATTTGTAGCCAAAGTACCTGCCGAGCTTTATCAAGTAAGATATTCTATAATCCGATCCTCTTTGGGGCAAGTAAGTTCCTTTTTACTGATTCCATTTCTTACATTCTTGTGGGGTGTGGCAATAGGAAGCAGTTGGAGACGGGTGCAAGTATCGTTACTGGGACGAGATATGTTAAAGGAGGCGGGGTCCATGGTTGGAATCTTATGAGGAAGCTTACCAGTAGAGGAGCCAATGTTCTTGCGCAGACATTCTTATGGCCCGGTGTTTCTGACTTGACAGGATCTTTCCGGTACGTTACCTTCAGCTCGCCATTCTGGATTCATTTGTTGTTTCGATGTTCATAGATTTTGAACCTAAATTAGTACATTTTTTGAAGGCTTTATAAGAAGTCAGCTCTTGAAGATATCATAACTTCAGTCGTCAGCAAGGGATACGTATTTCAGATGGAGATGATCGTTCGTGCTTCCAGAAAAGGATACCGTATTGAGGAGGTACTACATTTCTGTCGCCAGCCTTTTTTTTTTAACTTGTACCTGAATTTCAATGTATCAATTCATTAAAGCTTTGCTTTCACGCCCCTATACAGGTTCCGATTACATTCGTTGATCGAGTATTTGGAACCTCAAAGCTTGGAGGATCAGAAATTGTGGAATACCTTAAAGGCCTAGTTTATCTGCTAGTTACAACATGAAGAGTGTACTTTTATCAAACAGTGACATTTTTCACTCAGTTTATCTGATCTAAGACCCTAACATACTGGAAGGTGACATTTTCACTCAGATCACATACTTTCTCTTTGTTCGATTCCTGAAAACTCTCTCCTGAATGATAATTTGAATTGATTTATAGGTCTTGACGGCGTAAAATGTGATTTGTATTGTCGAAAAGTTTATCCAACTCGATTTAACACCTGTTGCTAATCTTAACAATACGCGATTTGATCAATCAACACCTCTAACAACCATTGTAGTACGAAGTTGTACATGACAAAACGGGGAAGCTGAACTGCTGAAGGGAGCTGAAAATCGTTGAGAGGCAAGTAATCTGCAGAATAGAGTGAGGATAAAGATTTCACTGAATGTCTAAAAGAAGCAGACGATTCACAGATAGGAAATAATTCCGCAGTTTTCCCCTAAAATGATTCCAAACAGAAATGGCAAGACAGCCAAGAACAATCGGAATTCAGACTCTCCTGACCGATCTCCGGACTCCAATTTTCCGTTCACTTGGAAGAGCAGATCTCTCAAAGCTCATCGCCGTGGGAAGGGGAGCCGCCGTCGGAATCTTGCTGTCTTTACGCATACTCCTCAACAAGTACCTCGGCGTCTCTCCGCCGGCCAGCCTCTGCCCGGCTCCATAAGCCGACGCCACGGATTTCCTCAGGCTCTCCATCTTCCTCGCGGAATCCCTCCTCTTCGACGACTCCACCGTCACTCCCAATCTGTACGACGGCGTCTTGGCGAAATCGTCCCTCGCGTCGCCGCCGATCTTCTTCTTCCGCAGCCGCTCGTTCCGCTTGGCGGCGTACGCGTCGTACAGTTTCCCTCTCTCGAAGAACAGCGGACTCGAATTCGCGCTCAAGCTTTCTCCGTAGAGCGAGGATTTCGGTTTGGCTGCCAGATCTCCGTTGCCGCCGAGCTCGTCGCGGACCTGCTTCGCCAGAGCGCGAAGTTCGCAGGACATGGAACGGTACTCTGGCCGGAGTTCCTCGCCGCTGTCGACTTCGGTGGCCAATCCGCGGCTCGGTTTCGCCGATTTCATCAACGAACCTGTGAGAGAGCAAGAAATTGAATTAGAAGAGGAAGCGGCGGAAGAGAGTTTGGGATCAAGAAGTAGGCGAGGCGCTGACTGATTGGCTTACCGGGAGGAGTCTGCAGGGAGACGGAGTTCGGCTGGAGGACGCGGCGGGAGCGGAGGCGGATCGGCGATTTGGCGAGCGGCGGCTTGCGATCGAACTTCATGGTCGGCATTTTTCCTGGAATCGGGGTTCCTTTCTTTCGCTTTTTTTCCCTTTGTTTGATTGTTTGCTTGCTAATTGGCGAATGGCAGTCGGAGAGCGAGGGTTTGAAAGTTTGAATAGAAAAATGAGAAAGAGGGGAGGAGCGCTTTAACGGTAATATAAGCAGAAGATTGATGATGGCTTGGCCGGGGCTGCCTCTTTGAATTTTGATCGGACGGTTACAGTTTCCTTTCCTTGTTTGCGCGGTGGCGGAACGGGTTTTGATTTATGGCAAGTTATTAGCGTGTCCGACTGGGAAATCATCCTCCATTAGGGCCGGATGGGCTTGAGTTGACAGGTGGTTAAATGGGCCTTGTGGGTAGGGATGGCAATGGGTAGGATCGGGTGCGGGTTTACCCTATACCAACTCCTAACCCGCCGGGTAGAGCCTTCTAAAATACCCGACCAAATAACCACCGAGTATGAAAATTATATAACCATACCCTACCCACCGGGTAACCAAGGGTATTCGGGTAACCATGGGTACGAATTCTAAACTATGAACTTATACACATATATGCACATACATACTATTGTGCATTAAAAATTCTCAATACTTGTAACTGTTCTACCTTCAACAATCCACACAAATAAAAACAACAAACACATAATAATTGTTCTTGCTTCTATAATCCACACAAACATAATAATCGTCTACATCTTCATCATCAATAATGGTAGCTACACTCAATTTCTCAAGGGAAATTGACCCTTTGGTTAGCGGGGCGGGTATAACGGGGCGGGTATTATCGATTACCATACCCGTACCCTACCCTTTATTTTGAAACCGGGTATTACCCGTACCCGCCCCTTAACCCGTCAAAGCGGGTAATTACCCTCATTGACCGGTTACGGTCGGGTAGGGTACCCATGGTTACGGGTTGGATTGACATCCCTACTTGTGGGGGATCTTTATCAACTCCATGGTTGAATTGCAAGAATCAAATCAAATCATCGACTTAACCAATAGAACAATCAACCGATTCTACAATGGTTAATATTGAACAATCAACGATTAACTTTTTTAGCTCAATATCCGATCCGGTTATGAAAAACATAGATGCTAACTCAGACTTAACCTTCTACGAACATATCACAATTAGAAATCAAATGAGGGTGTAATTAAGAAGTTCACAAGAAATTAAGTTTGTGATCTTTGAAAAAAAAAGAGTTTGTGATGAATGTTATGACGTGCCTCTTACCATATGGCAATGTGGCTATAAAATGCACATATTATAGAAAAATATCAATACATGTCCAAATGCTTATATCCTCTCATATTTTTATTTTTGAGAAGCATATGCATAGCAATAGTATCAATGTTTATATTTAAGTACTTGTATTGATTTATTTACAGCTCGATTTTCACGTTTCCAAATTCCAAATGAGTACATATTCCTAAATTAATACATATGGATCTACCATTCCATTAATATACTATGCAAGCGAATCGAGTAACATAAAATCAAATCATATAGAGTGAGCGATTAATGTTTTCCCCTCATAATTATCTCCAACGAAAAACAACATAGATATGGAGATATATAAGACCTTTGCAGGTTAGATCACATAATTTGGGGGAAGGGGGGACGAACGTTGGTCGACAAGTAAAATACCATTTTTGTCACGGAAAAGGCTACTCTGTGTATTTACGAAGTGCGAAATGGTATGTAGCACGCTGAAACAATGATCGTAGCACCTAAACTTCTTGCATGATAACCCCTCTCATCGTGTGTGTGCAATGAATCCAACACGTTACCATCCGAATAATGACATTTGAATCACCACACAACAAATTATTAGGGATAGAAGCACCATACAACAAGTAAAAACACATAGAGCTAGCAATGACAATTAACCGAAGATAACTCCACTAGTTTCACTATGGCAATTTGAAAAAATCACAGGGGTTGTTTGGATGGATTAATTGCAAAACGAGACAATTTAACCAATTCACTCATTTTACAAAATGAATCATTTAAAACGAGTCAATTCGAATTACCTGTCCCCACCCTAGACAATTGTGATTACCTCAAAATGAGTCAATTCAGAATTTCCCAGGCCAAATAACTTCGTTTAAATTTTCTGCTACCAAACGAGTCAATCTGGCACAATTGTCTCAAAACGAGTCAATTGTGTCAGATAGATCCATTAGAAATTCTCATCCAAATCACCCCCATAGTTCCTACTTCCCAGGCATCAAATCCCTCCACCACATATTTTTCAATACTGTGATTTCGAATAGTCACACGACGGCAATCTGAATAGTCGTCACTTTCCTTAAATTTAGCGATGGCAATGGGGCGGGGCGGGTACCTAAATTCCCATGGCCCGGCCCACGCTACTACTGGGCGGGGCGGGTCGACCCACTCTTACATGTTGTTCAAAGAAAATACAAGTAAGTTTTACTTTTTACAATAAAAACGTAGGGAAATACACTTTAAGAATGAAAAATATTGATAATAGAATGGATAATTGAGCCTAACAAGTTGAAAGATCGACTCTAACTAGTTGAAGAAAAGTCAAAATAGGAGAAATATGTATAGATATTGTAAGAAATTGAGATAAAATGAGTCTAGAACGAAGCGGGACGGGGCAGGACGGGTCGGAAGTAGATACCCATGCTCCGCCCCACGCTACTGCGCGTCGGATAATATTCACCCCATCGCGGGTTAGGTCGGGTAATACCCGCTAGTTGAAATTGCCATCACTACTTAAATTCCTCCTCCAATTGGATGACTAACTAGTTGGATCAAAAGTTAAGAAAATAATGATTGGTTTCTATTTAACTACATGTACGAACCATTATGGTTTATTAGTGGAGTGAAATAAAATAAAATAAACAACTAAGAAATCAAAGTGAATCGAGTCTATAATATACTACAACTACAAAGCAAGTAATCATTCGTAAAATAACAACATCCACCCACATTGGCTTGTAGTGCTTACTTTGGTAATGCCGAATGCGTCTTCAAATTCCCTTCCTTTTCTACTCCCAGATCGTCCAAACAAGCATTTCCACCACACTCTCACCATTTCCTGCTCAACCCAAACCAGCCAGCCATGGAAGGAACCAAGAAATGCTCCGCCAACTACGTCCCCTTATCTCCCATCACCTTCCTCGACCGCTCCGCCGTCGTCTACGCCGACCGCCCTTCCCTCGTCCACGGCGCCGTCACCTACACCTGGCGCCAAACTCGCCAGAGATGCGTCCAGCTCGCCTCTTCCCTCGCTTCCCTCGGCGTTTCCCGCGGAGATGTGGTAAGCTTGCTGGCTTTAAAATCAGCGCTGTAATGGCGGTGGTTGAATTGATCTGATGCCAAGGCTTTGTGTAGTGATCGAGTTGGCTTGAATTCGATTTTTCTAGTATGTAATTGAGTTAAAAATCGGACAAGATTGCCCAATTGACTTGAATTGGAGATGACTAATTGGCGGATAGGGATTGGAATCAGGGCTAAACTCTAAAGAAGTTCTTTTTCACCTTTTGTTTTAGGTTTTCTCATGGTGGGTTCCTTGAAGTAACTCACTTGACTCTTCTGCTTTCTTTTGACTGGTTGATGAACTTCTGCTGCAAAAACTACGGCTTCTTAGTTCTTTCACAGCTGCAATGTGAAGCAACAATGTAACTTACTGCTAATCGTTATATCAGGTTGCTGCTTTGGCACCAAACATTCCAGCAATGTACGAGCTACATTTCGCGGTTCCAATGGCAGGAGCAGTTCTATGCTCGCTCAACACACGCCATGATTCAGCGATGGTCTCCGTCCTTCTCAAACATTCAGGATCGAAACTCATTTTCGTGGACCACCAGTTCCTCTCCGTTGCTCAGGGAGCCCTGCAAATCCTCTCCAAGACATCAGCCAAGCTTCCTCGCTTGGTTATAATAACGGAGAGTGGTGATCAAATAGCTACTCCGGATTCTTACGAGTCCCTTCTAGCCACGGGGAATCCTGACTTTGAGATCATTCGGCCAAACGATGAATGGGAACCAGTTGCATTGAACTACACCTCGGGCACTACATCGAGTCCCAAAGGTGTGGTTTATAGCCACAGAGGGGCGTATCTGAACTCTCTTGCTGCAGCTTTGCTCAGCGAGATGCGTTCCATGCCGGTTTATCTGTGGTGTGTGCCAATGTTCCATTGCAATGGGTGGTGCTTCACCTGGGCTGTTGCTGCAATGGGTGGAACGAATATATGTCTGCGAAATGTCGCTGCAGCTGGGATCTTCGACAGCATTGCTCGATACAATGTGACTCACATGGGTGGTGCACCGACGGTGTTGAACATGATCATCAATGCACCGGATAATGAGAAGAAGCCGCTCCCAGGGAAGGTTGGCGTGATGACTGGTGGGGCGCCTCCTCCTCCTCAGGTACTATTTAAGATGGAAGAGCTAGGATTCGACGTCACTCATTCCTATGGCCTGACCGAGACCTATGGACCTGGCACCATATGCACCTGGAAGCCTGAATGGTCATCCCTCCCTAGAGAAGAACAAGCCAAGATCAGGTCCCGTCAGGGAGTCCAACACCTCGGCATGGAAGAGATCGATGTCAAAGATCCAGTCACCTTGAAGAGTGTTGCTGCAGATGCGAAAACCATGGGAGAGGTCATGTTCAGAGGGAACACAGTGATGAACGGTTACTTCAAGAACCAGGAAGCAACAGATGAAGCATTCAAAGGCGGATGGCTGAGGAGCGGTGACTTGGGAGTGAAGCATCCCGATGGGTACATAGAACTGAAGGACAGGTCGAAGGATATCATAATCTCCGGTGGGGAGAACATCAGCACGATCGAGGTCGAGTCCGTGTTGTTCAGCCATCCAGCCGTGCTCGAGGCAGCAGTCGTGGGGAGGCCCGACGAGCACTGGGGGGAGACGGTTTGTGCTTTCGTGAAGGTGAAGGAAGGGGTTGGTAGTAGTGGCTTGAGTTCTGTGGAGGTGATTCAGTATTGTAGAGATCGGTTGCCTCATTATATGGCGCCGAGGAGCGTTGTGTTTTTGGATGATCTGCCGAAGACTTCGACAGGGAAGGTGCAGAAGTTTGTGCTGAGGGAGAAGGCTAAGGGCATGGGGAGCTTGTCGAAGCAAAGGAATAGCAAACTGTAAAAACAAAATCGCAGGTGTGGTAACTCTTGTAATGAGAGATTATTATTATCTGTTGTTGTGAAATATCAACTGTAAACCAAATTGATCACCCTGAGCAGGTGCCTGAGTGAGAGCTCTACCATGACCCAAGACTCGTGAGTTCCACTCAAGTGTAAGAATAATTTGTTCTTTCGAATGGATAAAGATTAAAGGGGATGGCACTGCTCATTGTACACATAATGAAAACAAGCCCCTAAATCTACTCAATTCTGTGCAATGAAGTTTGTGTCAAGCAACTGTCATCAACCAGTTACTCTCTGTTTCTAGTCTACACAAACAACTACTGATACTAGTTAAAACCAAAGGATGAATGAGAAATAACCAAGATTCCAGGGTTTCATTTTCACCTCGCAAAACTTTCAACAATAGCATTTTTCAAAATATCCAGGGCATTCACCAACAAAATCATGTTTGTAATTGAAGAACTCGATAGCACACAAAAGAACACAAAACACAAAGTTTTATGTGGTATCCTCATTCGTAGTGAACGAGACCAATCAACGATGGGCTCAAAAGAGATGACTGATTCTATTTTCACTCTTTTATGCGACACTCTCTTACATTCGGCCAACAACCGGTCCATGACCTTATATAGAGAAAAGACAAACATAATCCCTTCAAGATTTGTAGGGAGGGATAGGGAACCATGATAAATAAACAAAACCGAAGGAAACAAGGAAACAGAGATCGAAATGAATAAGGAAACGTAATACGCCTCCTCAAGCACAAGCATGGAGGCCGAACTTGCCAAATCGTGACAGTAGATGGTGATAGTGCTCGATCCCAAGCCCCTTGGTGAAAAGATTAGCCGACTGATATGTTTTAGCGATCTTGTGATGACTGAGGAGGAATATCAAGTGACTGGGGAAAAAAACTAATAGATAAGGTTAAATTTTCTTTTATTACCAATTTTAAAGTTCGAGTGACATTAATGAGATGAAATGATTCATAACAGTTTCTTTTGACGCTTAATCGCTGGACTTTTCAGAATTTTCAGATTTTTGCAGATAAGTGGATCGAAAATGCAGGGAGATCAAATGTCCTTCTTTCCCATGGAGAAGTTTGGGTTCGAATCGACGGAATCCCCCTTCATCTCCGATCCGCTGTCCTATTGGCTAAATTGGGGTCTTTCTGTGGAGAAGTGAAGGAAATACAAGATCGAGCGGTTTCACTAAAAGAAGTTCGGATTCGTGTGAGTCCTCGTGAAGTGATACCGGAAGAAATTCCTTTGTGCTATGGCTCGATTATTTACTCACTTAAGGTTTATTTGGAAGAGACCTCTGTTCAAGCTCCCATTGATTCCGGTGGAAAATTTCTTCATGGCTGGAGGGGGAAAGGGCGTGAAGTTTACGTCAGAAAACGGAGAGTGGATGGTGTGGGTAAAATCATGCGAGACCTAGATTGTCAGATAGAGTTGGGTAAAGAGCTGGCTGATTTTCAGTCTTTTGGCGAGAACAGCTGTATAGGAAAGGAGAAGGTTCACGAGAGTGGGGAAAGTTAATCTGCTAACTTGAAGATTCGTTAGCAGATACTAACTGATATCTAAATTATATGAACTAATATCCAAGTACTAAAGTATCTAGAGAGCACAGACTAGTATTCAAAGTTTGCTAATAGATATCCACCATGAATCAACTATTATCTCAAATTCACAAACTAATATCTAAACAACATAGAATAGTATCCAAACAACACATAATTAGTATCCAGATAACACATAAGAGTATCCAGATAACCCATAAGAGTATCCATATTGAATACTAGTTGGTTGATTGTAGATATTAGTTGGTATCTGCTATCTGGATACTAGTTTGTGATGTTTTGAATACTAATTTGTGATATCTAGATACTTAGCATACTTGGATATTAGTTTATACATTTTGGATATTAGTTAGTATATACTAACGAATTTTTCAAGTTAGCAGATTAACTAGGCTGCACGAGAGTGGGTTATTCGAGGGAGAGAGCTCCAATCAAGAAATGGCTCTTGATGTTGATATCTCTAGTGAAATGCAGGAAGTGGGCGATTTTTTAAGGAATGACAATTCTGCAAAGGTGAGGGAAGATAATTAGTTTTCTTCCTCTTCTGAGGGGGCTTTGTCTTTGATGTGGGAGAATGGAAAGGCATGTGGTGGGATTTTTTCAAAGCAACTGGGCCCTTTGACTAAAGGGATGGTAAAAGCCCACGAATGTTCTTGGAATATTGGGTCTTTAGCTGATCTTCCTATTGGGCCTAGGGTGGCTACGAATTTAAGGGAAGATTGGGGTGGGCCAAGTGCTTTAAAGCACTATTCACAGTCCAATGCCCACCTTTTATTTCAACTATGGATGCAAGTTATATGCCCCATCTCTATTTCCAATGTGGGATGGAATTTAAACGAACTTAGCTTTCTTTCTTCAGCTTATTCCCAACAGCAAAGTTCAGTTGTAATTGAGGATATCACAAGTGCTTCGGCTACCGTGACCTCGGGTGGGAAATGTTCAGAGGAAGAGAGTTTGCTTGGTCTTAGTGCTTCGTTGGCTCAAATTGTGGAATTGGGTATGGAAGAGGTGGGTAGCTCCCCTGATTTGCTTAGAGAAAAAACAATGAAGGATGTACTTGCAAGAAGAAAGGCGCCTCCTTTATCTCCGCAAGAGAGAGCCTTACGTCAACTTGGAGTTGAGGGGGATGTTGATTCTATCCTAATGGTTGGTCGTCCTAAGCGCAATGGGTATGCTCCTTCCCGCCTTTCTTTATGATATTTAAGTTGGTTTCATGGAATGTTAGGGGTTTGAGGGATACATCAAACAGTTCAAAGTTAGGGAATTTCTTGCTCCGATTCGCCCGTCGATGTTTTGCTTTCAGGAGACAAAGCTTGAAAATTGTCAAGACTGCATTATTGGCTCAATCAGTGGTCGTCAGGGGATGGGTTGGGTTGACAAACCATCAGTGGGATTCTCTGGTGGCCTTTTGGTGGTTTGGGATAAATCAGTTTATGAATTAGAATGTCATTGGGTTGTAAAATTTTGTTTGGTGGTGGTGTTTACCCAGAGATGATGGCTTCAAGTGGATTTTGGTCAATGTTTATGGACCAAATGATAGAGGTGATAGACGAGCTTTTTTTCAAGAATTAGCGTCTTGTTTGACTTGGTGGAATTTCCCCGCTTGTGTGGTTGGAGATTTTAATGTTGTTCGTTCTCAGGATGATGTCATTGGAGCCCCAAGAAATGTTATGGATATGACATTGTTTAATGATTTCATTAATGATTTTGCTCTGCTTGATCTTCCTTTACTTGGCTATAAATTCACCTGGTCAAGTCAACAGGCTAATCCGTCTTTGTCTCGTTTGGATCGGGCTCTTATTTCGCCAGATTGGGAGAGTAAGTTTTCCGATTGTTGTTTGAAATCGTTTGTTCGGATTGGCTCCGATCATTGTGCCCTGCTCCTTTCTTGTGGGGAGGATCGTACTATTTGCCGACCTTGGCGATTTGAGTTTATGTGGACTGATCATGACGAGTTCGAGGATCAGCTTAGTAGTTGGTGGAGGTCTCATGTGGGGGGCTATGGGATTTTTTTCAAATGTGCAAAGAAGCTTAAACAAGTGAAAGAGCTCATCAAGAAGTGGAATATGGAAGTGTTTAAACGTGTGTAGCATGAAATCAATTTCACACTACATCAGATTGGCGATTTGGATATTTTAGAAGAAGCAGGGACTTTGACTGACGAGGATAGAGTGCGGTGTTGTTTGTTGAAATGCCACTTGGATCGCCTTTGGAAAAGAGAGGAAATATGTTGGAGGCAAAAATCAAGAGAGATTTGGCTTAGATTTGGGGATAAAAATACTTTATTTTTTCATAAGGTAGCAAACTTCAATCGCCGAAGGAATTTCATTGACAACATTTGGGTGAGTGGGGTGTTGTGCACAGGCCAAGAACAATTGGCTACTGCTATTGTCTCATACTACGAGTCTCTTTTTTGGGAAGCTAATCCTAAAAGGCCTTTTCCTTTTGGACTTGATTTCCCTTCTCTCCCTCCTCATGCTACCCATGTGTTGTTGAGGCCTTTTGGAGATGAAGAAGTTTGGAAGGTTATAAAAAGAAGCAAGGGAGACCATGCTCCTGGACGAGATGGTTTTCCCTTGGGATTCTTTAAGAAATATTGGGACATTGTTAAGTCGGATATTTTGGATGCTTTGAATGAGTTTGCTACTATACTGGGGTTCTTCCAAAGAGTGTTAACCACACTTTCTTGTGTTTGATCCCCAAAAAAGAAGTTGGTGATGTTAAAGATCTCAGACCCATAAGTTTGGTTTCTAGCCTCTACAAAATCCTTTCCAAGGTGCTCATGGAAAGATTGAGAGCATTTATGGGTGGTTTGATTGCAGTGGAGCGATGTGCTTTTGTAAGGGCCGTCAAATCCTTGATGCTGTTTTAATTGCAAATGAGCTTATTGACTCAAGGAAAAGTGGTGGAAGACCTGGGCTAGTTTTCAAATTAGACATTGAGAAAGCTTATGATCATGTGAATTGGGAGTGCATCCTTTCTGTTCTCAAAGGCATGGATTTCCCTAACTTATGGCTCACTTGGATTAGAGGTTGCATCTCATCAGCTTCTTTCTCTGTTTTGGTGAATGGTGAAGCTTCTGGTTTCTTTTCAAGTGAGAGAGGGCTTAGACAAGGGGACTCCCTCTCTCCTTTCCTTTTCATTATGGTGATGGAGGTCTTATCGGGTATCCTAAAAAAGATGCAACTCCATGGTTTAGTTGAAGGCTTCTTTATGAATGAGGGTCTAAAAAGTGGCGAGGTCACTCATATCCTATATGCAGATGACACCCTTCTTTTTTGTGATGCTTCTGAAGTTCAAGTTCAATATCTCCTCGCAGCTCTAGCCCTTTTTGAAACCATCTCAGGTCTTCGCGTGAATTTACACAAGAGTTCCGTGATGGTTGTGGGGGAGGTGGAAGATCCTTCTCACTTTGCTAACATTTTTGGATGTGAGACGGTTTCCTTGCCGACGAATTATCTGGGGCTTCCTTTGGGATCTAGAATGACTTCTTTAGCAGCTTGGGAACCAATGATTGAAAAGGTCCAAAATCGTTTAGCCACTTGGAAGGCTAGGATGCTCTCATTTGGGGGGAGACTTGTTTTGTTAAAAAGCGTCCTTGCAAATCTTCCCATATACTTCCTATCTCTTTTTAAGGCCCCTGCATCAGTGATTGCAAGGTTGGAGAAAATTTATAACGATTTCCTGTGGTCTTGTGTCTTGGATACTAAGAGATTGCATTGGGTTCGATGGGATTTGGTGAAAACCCCTATGGTGAGGGGAGGTTTGGGAGTTTTGGATCTCAGGAGTGTTAACCGATCTCTTTTAGAAAAATGGGCTTGGAGATTTGGGGTGGAGAGAGATGCTTGGTGGAGGAAAATGATTGTGGCAAAATGTGGAATAGGTTCTTCAGAATGGAAACCTTGTTGGAACTTGGGATCATATGGTTGCTCTTTGTGGCGTACTATTGTCAACGAAAGCTCGTACTTTTGGAGAGTTGCTTATGTCGATCCTGGGGGGGGGGGTTATGGAGTGTACTTTTGGCATGATGTGTGGATTCCTGGGAAACACTTGGTGAGAGAGTTCCCAAGGGTTGGGTCCGCTGCCCAATCCTTGGATGCTTTTGTTTCTGACTTGGTTTCTTCGAATGACAGGTCTGTTTGGGAGATCCCCCTTACAATTTCACTAAGAGGCGGGGCTGAAGCTGAACGAGTTCGTTTGATGCATTTGTTGTCTTCACTCCCACATAGTTGGACTTGTGCCGGTCCAGCTCATTTGGTTTGGCCCTTGGAGAGATCATCGATTTTCTCTGCCAGCACCTCATTAATGATTCGTTTGAAGGTGACAACTCCTTCCCCTACAAGCTCATATGGATTTCTTCCATCCCTTCGAAGATTTGCTGCTTTCTTTGGATGACCTCATTATCAAAAATTGCCACCATTGACAACTTGAGAAGAAGAGGAATGATCATTACTAATTGGTGTTCCTTGTGTAAAAGCAACGAAGAGTCGATTTCACATCTTATGTTTACATGCCCATTCTCGAGGATAATTTGGGAATTCTTCACGAGAGCTTTAGAGCTGCATGGTCCTTTCCCCGCTCAGGTTCGGTCTTTTCTCCATGCTTGGAGAGGATTGAGGTATGATCCGAAGTTCACAGATTGCCTTAAAGTCTTGCCACATGCAGTGTGTTGGTCACTCTGGAGCGAAAATAACAATAGGATTTTTAGAGATATTGAAATTTCCCCTATAAACTTGTGTCACAAGATCATCCAAGTGGTTGGTAGGTGGCTTCGAGCATTTAAAATTCTTTCAGACGCCCACTTACAACAATGGGTAAGGATTGGGGATGGTTAATGATTGTTCCTTGGTTTTGTTTTGTTTTTTGGTTTTGCCTCAATGTGTAGGTGCTTTTTGGGGCATTGAGGTTCAAGGGAATTCTCTTTGCTTTTGTTTCTTTTCTGTTAGTGTTAGTTATCTGTCACCAGTCTTGAAGTTTCCATACTGGTTCTTGTTTTTTCTTTTTGTGTTTTGGTATTGTTTTGCCAAACTTTTTTTCTTTTTCATCTCAAATTTTTTCTTCTTGCTTGTAAATGTGTTCGTTTTTTGAGTTGTATTTTCTTGTTTTCTCTTAGTAATAAAATTCATCATTCATAAAAAAAAAAACAGTTTCTCTCTCGAGTCTCAATCGACTCCAAATGGAGATAAACAAATCAGATATAAATGTTGGTGAAGTAGTTCATATAACAAATTAGTTGATGCAATGTATATTAAGTACTAGTTAGCTACATACTATTACTATTGAGGTTCTCCAATGGCCAGGTCTGCAGGCACCGTCGGAACTCGCCTATGGCAGGCTGACCTCACTTTTTGTTTCGTCCTTTCCGTTTCCAAGACCTGTCCCCTAAACCCCATTTATGACCGTTGTTATTGCTTCACTTCTCACCCAAAATTCGTGTCTCCGCTCGCCGGAATCCCGGGGGAACTCACTCGGCGCCGAAAGAAAGTCAGCCAACATGACGCACCACTACCATTCCAAGCAATCCCCCCGCAAACCAATTGCATTTTGTATTTAACCTTGACTCAACGATTTCCCTAACCCAGAGTCAAGAATGGCGGAGGGGAAGAGAAGAATCGCCGTCGTCGGCGCCGGAATGAGCGGCCTGCTCGCCTGCAAGCACCTATCGGAAATGGGGCTGGACCCGACCGTGTTCGAACACTCGAATTCCGTCGGCGGGGTCTGGTCCCAGACCATCGAATCCACGAAGCTCCAAACCCCTAAATCCCTGTACCAGTTCTCCGACTTCGAGTGGCCGGATTCCGTCACGGAGACGTTTCCCGACCACACCCAAGTCCTGGACTACTTCCGAAGTTACGCGGCCCGGTTCGACATCGAACGGAGGATCAAATTCAATTCCAGGGTCGTCTCCATTGACTACGTCTCCTCCCAATCTTCCCAAGACGAGATGTCCACGTGGGATTCGTGGTGCGGCGGCGACGGCGCCGGGAAGTGGAATGTTCATGTGCAGAGCGGCTCCTCTAGCGTTGAGGTAAAAATGAATAGACTATGTGTGATTTGGAAGCAAACAATTTGCCCCTTTTTTTCTAAACCGTGATTGATTGGCAGCAGGTTTTGGAGATGGATTTCGTAATCCTCTGCATCGGGAGATACAGTGGATTGCCAAACATCCCTGAATTCCCAATCAACCAAGGCCCTGAAATCTTCGACGGTCGGGTCATGCATTCCATGGATTACAGCGCCATGGACGATGCAGCGGCCGCCGAGCTCACGAAGAAGAAGCGGGTTGCAGTGGTTGGGTTCCAGAAATCGGCCGTCGACATTGCTGCAGAAATCGCCAGCAGAAATGGTAAGTACTGATAAATGAAATCCCCATTTTTCTTATCTGCTGCCTCAAATTTTTTCCTTTGTGCAGGGGCAGAGAATCCGTGTACTTTGGTGTTCAGAACCGTACACTGGACAGTTCCAGAAGTGTTCATGAAACACTCGGTGAAAAGCTTCAATCGGTTCTCTGAGCTCATGTTCCACAAGCCACGCCAAGGGTTCTTCCTCTGGTTGCTGGCAGTTTTGCTTTCCCCTCTGGTAATGAAAACTCCCTTGATTTCGATTTCGATTTCGGTTCGTCTTAACAACCATTCAAATTCTTTTCCTAATAAGATTGCTAGACTGTTACTCTAGGAATCAAATTTCATGAGAATCGTTGTTTGATCGATATATGTTGCAGCTGTGGATACAATCGAGAGCAGTGGAATTCTACCTCAAGTGGAAGCTCCCATTAAAGAAGTACGACATGGTTCCGGACCACGGCTTCTTCAACCAGATATTCAGCTGCATGTTCACCATTCTGCCCCAACATTTCTACGACAGAGTCGCCGACGGCAGCCTCGTACTCAAGAAATCCAGGAGCTTCAGCTTCTGCCAAAAGGGTCTGATCCTGAATCCTGATCAAACGAGGATTCCAGCAGATATCGTCATTTTCGCGACAGGGTATAAGAGCACCGAAAAGCTCAAGAACATCTTCGGATCGAGCTACTTCCAGCAGTACATTACCACGTCCACATCTCCATTTTATAGGTATCTCTTGTATTGTCATGACTAATGGTACAAGTTAGGGTTATTTGACAGAGTAATTTGGTTCTGTTAGAAATTAAATTTATCTCCTTTTGGTTAGGGAAACCATCCATCCACGAATCCCACAGCTGGCGATTCTCGGGTACACGGACAGCGCGTCGTACTTGTACACGACGGAGACGAGAAGCAAGTGGGTGGCTCATCTGGTGGCCGGGAAGTTCAAGTTGCCGGCGGTGCGGGAAATGGAAGAGGAGGCGAAGGAGTGGGAGAATTGCTGGAGGGCTTACTCAAAGGAAGGTTACAAGAGCTCTTGCACGAGCGTCAGCTTGCCGATCTTTTTCCACGATCTGTTGTGCAGGGATATGGGCTTGAACCCAAGAAGGAAGAAGGGGCCTTTGAGGGAGCTGTTTGAGCCCTATGGTCCAAGCGATTATAGGCATTAGGTTTTTAGCCCATTTGGATTTGGTCATTTGAATGGTTAAAGATGTCCTAGAATTACTATTCGTCGTCCTAACCTTAGAACGTAGTATGTAATTTACGTAATTGATCAAATACCTACCGGACTCTCCCCCACCGCCTGGCGCTACGTAGAATTTATATGCAAGATGGAGATCGAATTCGGATGCTACAGCTTCAGCATCTTCACCTCCCAAACTCTCGGAATCCTCTTAGACGCGACGAAGAGAAACTGGCCTTCATCCCACCAACACTACCCCCGAGAGGCCGAGGCCAATTGCATACGTTGTCGTCCAAGAGGAAACAAATTGCATGAGTTTAGAGACATTGTAACATCCCGACCTTTTGTGCCCAAGATATCGTCCGCTTTGGGTCTACCAAGCATGGTCTTGTTTTCGGGAGCTCATGATGACTTCTCAGGAAGTCACCCATCTTTGTAGTGCACCACATTGAATTTGTTTAACTTGGGAGTTCGTACAAGAAATCCTTCATTTCTCCCCAAAATGCGTTTTCGCAATTAAGGTTTGATGTTTGTTATAAATCATAAATCTCTCCCGTGTTTTGTCGATGGGATTTGCCTAGGTGCAAACATCCCTATCTCGTAATAACTCCGAGATGAGGAAAATTTCTTCATCTGTGCAGTTTATCTTCAACTAATTTCTTTCACAAGTTTGAATCCAATTTCAGTGACACCAGTAACCAGAAGTTTTCCCTAATCAAAGTATCCTATGAAGGTGTTCTAAATCTCGAAATAGAGTATGTCGATGTGATGTATTATTTAGTTTATGTTTCGGTCAATCAGATGGATCATTGGACTTAAAGATAAGATAGTTTTTGTCATCATTCAAATTATGTTTGTATGAATCTATCGGGTGTACATCTAATTATACAATATGTTCTAAATGTTTACTCAGGGGCATCCGCGGACAAACAACTACTAATGGTAATGGTTTTGTAACGTATCGACCTTGAGAGAACAACTAATTATTCATGGCGAATATAGTCTCACTAGATAACTGACTCAATGTTCCTTATAAAAGATACATATTGTAGCAGTTTCAAATTCATATAGTATCAGTGATAGCGAAAGAAAGAAAATCACTATCTAAATGTTCATAAATTGGATTAAAAAAAGAAAGAAAATCACTATCAAAATGTTCATAAATTGGATTAAAAAGGATGCTTTATATTTGAAAGTATTTTACAATTAATATTTTTGGTTTGATAATCGACTCCTTGGTTTGGGATCTATCTTTTATGCCGAGGATTTTAGCATAATTAAAATTCCTCGAAAACATTTTTTAGACTATCACTAAACCCAAAAAAGCTATGTTTACTTTTCTGTTTTTTAAGTTATTAATATTGATATATCTGGAACGGTAAAAGCCTCACATATGCTCCTCTCATCACATGAAAACAAACGAGCACAAAAAGCAACCCATAGTAGATCGAGCATTTGTTGGTTGGGAGGAAGAAGGCCGGCAGAATCGAACTACATGCCAGCCACAAGACTAACGATATATATGTAAACCTTGTGAGCATTGTGATTTGTGACAGAAAGCAAGTGAAACTAACCCTTATCGATATAACAGATAAATAACCAAAACGTCTACATCTCCCCCTCGTTAAAAATGTAACACTAGTGTAAGGTTGTCAATTCGTGGGTCGATCTGTCGGTTGATCCGAACCCGGTAAGGAGTACGGGCGCAATATACTCGCCGGGTCGATCAACTATTAACTCTTATAGCATACTTACTCGATCGTGCCAAAGGGCTGAACTGGGATGACATGACAACCTTGCACTAGTATGGAATGATGACTCTTTGGATTATTGATTTAATTGTAAGATTTTTCAAGTTTGGATGTAGGTTTAGAGTATAATGAATTGTATCGGCTCAAATAGAGGTGACAAATGATTGCATTCATGGATTAGTTGATTGGATCATGGATCCAAGTGGCATTTAAACACTGAACCAATATGTAAATTTTGAAAAGTTTAGGTACTAAAATGTCACAATAAAAAATTATATACCAATCAATTGTCTAATGCTATTTTCATAAAATAATAAAATTTAGGTACCAAATTATAAAATAAATAAAATTTAGGTACTAAACTATAATTTTTCAACAATCAATGAATCCATCAATTCAATTTGGTTTGGAACAAACGCATTGAATTTAAATGAATTGGATTAGTTGGATATTTAAGTTGATGGATTGCTGGTTGGATACGAAATTGTAAAACTGTTACTCTCAAATCATCATCCGACGACAGTTTTTGTATTTCATAATATTATTTGATTTTATGTAATATTATATGCAAGAAATTAATTTTTTAAAATAATTTGTAGCTATTGTTTATAATTAATGTATTTCATATGTGATCGATATGGATCAATATAACGATGAAATCATTTTTGTTATCAAACAAGTAATGTTTACTTTACTTTTTTTTTAAAAAAAATTATCGACTATTATTCATGAAGTCGTCATTTGTATGTGCCGGAATACGTTTCAGAGGGAATCATATTGTTACTCACAAAAATATATAAATATTAAAGTTTGGGGTATGCCTACTATGACATGCATGTCACCGTGACACTGACATGGACTTTTCGGTCGACCTAATCATGAAAGCGGTCGACCGAATTGACTAATTTGGGCAGCACGAGAAAGCATTGCGGTCGACCTCAACGACCACGTGGTCGACCGCACTTAGTTTAAGTTGTTATTTTCGGTGGAAATCACGCATTAGAGAAAATGACGGCGAATGCTACATTAGGTCGACCTCACCTTAGACGTGGTCGACCACTTTCGACACGTATAACAGCAACCGCGAACAATCTTCTTCACAAAGGCTCTAAATCGAAAAAACCTAATTCAGACTTTTGGTGGCGTTGATGGGGACTTATATTCGTATTTATAGAGATTTAGGACGTGAATGGGTCGACCCAATTCGTTTTCTTGTCCAATTGTGGAACCTTTTTGCTGTTGGAATTCTTATCCAATACGGATACGGTGTGCATGTGGTCGACCTCTTATTAATGAGGTCGACCTGATAGGTGCACAAGGGTCGGCCTATGAGGTATTTGGGTCGACCTTTCATTCTATTATACCACCAAAGAGGTCGACCATTTTATGTAGACGGTCGACCACGTCTTTGAACCTCACATAACTGAATTTGTCAATTCGGTCAACCGCCTTGTAAATTAGGTCAACCGAAAAGTCCATGTCACGGTGACATGCATGTCACCGTAGCAAAATCCTAAAGTTTGTCGGGTGTCAAAGGAGAAAGCAAATTAATATTGATTTCTGGAACGGTAAGTTTACAGCATATATGTAAACCTTGTGAGTACTCCATCCATAAAAGCATATGGTGGCCGCCTGGCCGGGACGAAGAAGGCCTGCAGTCTCGGCTGCTACATGCCAAACACAACACGAACAATATATAAGCAAACTTTGTGACCATTTCGATTTGGGACAGACAGCAAGTGAAACTGACCCTTATCGATATAACAAATAAATATCCTAATTCCTAAAGGTCTACATCTCACCCTCAGTTAAAAATGTGACAGAGTATGGAATGGTGGTGATAGGAATTAGGAAATGGTATAATATAATATATTATAGGGTAATGTCTATTTATTAACCAATATTTTTTTGGATTTTTTTATTTTAATCACATTTATTGGAATATTATTTATTAACCAAACGTATTGTAACTGACCGATCAAAGTATTGGGTTTCATTCTGTTACCGTTAACTATTTCCTAACGAATCTCCACCTCATCGTCCTTGTCACGTCTTAGGTCACACAATTCGTGGGCCCAAGGCTCACATTCCCGCTTTAGAGCGCGGATTGCCGAGAAATCGCACAAAATTCGTGAATTATATTCTATCAGAGCGCGAATTATGTGGAAATAATAGCGAATGATTGGGAAAACATTTGATCTTCACCGCCGTTGACACCCAGAACCACTACCGGCCCTCTGGTTAGGCCGCTTCTGGGGCTGCCACGGCTGCTCCTTCGACGCCTCGGAACCTGTCCACTGCGCCACCGACGACTGCAGCTACTCCCTCTATTGTAACGGCCTCGGCGGCGCCCGAGTCCCAGACTTGCCAAGCCTACCCACCAACTAGGGCTGGGAAACAGTCCGGTTCGGTTTAAACCGGACCGGATTGACCCGGTTTTTTATAACCGGATTGGTCATATACCCAACCGTAGATGGGATTGGATTGGTACACGGTTTTAACCGTGACCGGACTGGATTGATCCGGTTTCAACCCAAAAACCGGATCTCCTTTCTTCAATCCCAAAACACAGCCGTTTTCATAAAAAAAAAAAAAAGACAGCTGTTTGAATAATAAAAAATCCCATTATCCTTCTCCTACCAACCACACAACCCCTAATCTATCCCTACTTCACGATTCTTCTTCTCCCTCTCCCTCTTCTAGATCAAACAAAACACAACACAAGCATCGACTTCTTATCCCTCAAGCACTACTCTGGCTCGCCCTATCGATGAGCTCGATTGAAGTTAGAGGCGAGAAGAGTTGGATCTGGAGAATCGATTGGAGCCGCGAGAGCCGGGAAGGTGAGATCGAGCGAGAGAGGGAGCATGCAAGCTCTGTATAGGAGAGGCATGTCGTCGCGGCCGTTGCGTGTCAATCGACCAGATCGCCTCGTCGTCACGGTCGTCGCGTGCCGATCGATCACATCTCCTAGCCCTCGTCGTCGCTGTCATGCGAGTTCTGGTGGCGGAGTGGCTACGGTCGGCGAAGTGCTGGAGGGAGCCAATTGAGGAGCTTGGATTTTCTTTCTCCTTCCCCTCTTCGTGTGTGTGGGTCTGTGATTGGGAATGAGAGAAGTTTGAGGGTCAGGAGGGGAGAGAAGAACAAAGAAGCTTGAATCAATTAGGGTTTGGGAAAGGGACCGTGGGCTGGGCTGTGATATAAGTGGAGTGGGCTGTGAGCAAGGTTGTCAACCCGCGGGTTGACCCGCGGGTCGACCCAGTTTGACCCTGACCCGATGAGAAAAACGGGTCGTACGCACCCGCCGGGTCAACCGCTATAAAGTACCGGGTTGGAGTTCAAATTGTGTCATTTTTTCCTTTGATTTGCGAAATGCGCCTATTTTTCGATTTTTCTTTTCGCCCAACTCAATCTTTGGAATCCTAAGTTGAATATTTGAATATTTATGTTATATAAGTGTGTGTGAATTTCATTATATGTTGGATCTAAGTACGATATGTTATTTTGGTGTAATATTATATGTTATAACTCATATGTTAGATAAGATTTGATATAATTTATGAGGATAATTACAATATAATGACTTTTTACATATTTCCGGGCCAAACCGGGTTAAAACGGTTGACCCATTAACCCTTGACCCACTAGCTCGACCGGGTCCGGGTCAACCCACGGATTGACAACCTTGGCTGTGAGATTAGTGGGGTGGGCTGGGGGATGGGTTGTGAATTGTGATATTAGCGGGCT